TAAACTGGAGGAGAGGTAACTAATGAATGCGGGGAAGCAAGCAAGTGCCCTGTGGCTATAAAAATATAAAAGGTTAAATAAACATGCCTTAGTTTAATGAGCACAAGACTTCAGTTCTGGAAAGGAAGAAGAAGACAAGGTAGGGAAATGATAGGGGAGCATTCTTTTATATAAAAGAGAACAAGTTAAAGAGGAAAATGGTGCAGAAAGAATCTATAGACTTTTTTAGAAAATTAGGTAAATAGACTTCAAAGCAAACCTGTACCTAGACATGTAATTCAGCCGCTCTGTGGAGCCTTTCTGTTCCCTCTTCATCTCCTTCAGATGTTTGTTCTGCCTGGAATGTCCCAGAGACTTTTCACTGGACTTTGGCATCAGTAACTGGAGCAGGGTTACCCTGGGAGTGAAATTAAATGGATGTCCAGGAAGTTTCCTCATGGCTGTTAGAAACACAGCTGACTACAAACAGGAATCCTGACTGCTCTTTGCAAGATTATTTATGATAGAAAGTCCTTGAATGCTTTCTTGAAAAGTTTAGGAATACATTTTTTTTGACTAGGCTATTTAGGAGGCTTTCAGTTGTAAGTGCTGGAAAATTCACTCCACACCGGCTTAATTACTGGCCCATACACCTGAAGTTTTGAGGGCGACCAGGCGTCTGAAGAGGGCTCCTGGAAGTAGCTCAGCAGTGTCACTGTGTACCCACACGTGACTGCTCTGCTTGATGCTCCCCGACGTCAGCTCCTTGTGGTGCTCCCATCTTGCATAGGTCTTGAGTTTCACTGCTCACTGGCCACCTTGAACACATACCATCTCTAAAGCAGTCGTTGACCCAGGGAAGTGACGCTGAGTGTTTGGGCTGAACCACGTGTCCTGTGAACAGACAGCATGGCAAAGTAGATGGTATTATGTTGGTGTGCTGAAGCGAATCAGAGCTAAAACTAGAAATGAGCTTCATCACGTTCATACTGTGTGCTTAAGAAACTGGAATCTGGTTCCAGAGGAGGGAGAGGCAGATGGACGCTGGGGGACAGCCAGCAAGGCCACCGCGTTGATGACTCTGCCTGCGTACATACTGTCCATTTTATTCGTCTGGAACAGGGCTTCTAAGCTGTGGATAAATTAGTTGTTTTAAAGGAGGGGACTAGCTGGAGGCATGGTTCAAGTGGTAGAACTGCATCTGCCTTGCAAGCACAAAACCCTGAGAGTTCAAATCCCAGTACTGCCAAAAAAAAAAGTGGTGTGAGGGGGAGCTGTCCTGTGCATTGCAGGATACTTAGTACCATCCCTGGTCTACTGGGAAACCCCTACCCCCATTTTAGCAACCAAAAATGTCTTGAGACTTTGCCAAATGTCACTGGGGATGGGGACAAAAATTGCCTGAGCTTGGAACCACTGCTCTTCAAATTTTAATCACACTACCCTATGATTAAAATGTTCATGTACATATCCATGTATAGTTACATTACCCTGTTAATTTTATAAAACATACACCCAAAGTATAAATTAAATGGTAGTGATTATAAATAAAATGAATTTTACTTTATTTTGGCACTATTGGAGCTTTCAAACTGAGGACCCTGTGCTTGCTAGGCAGGCACTCTACCACTTGAGCCACATCTCCATCCCTTTTTGCTTTTAGTTTATTTTTCAGATGAGGTCTGCATACACTTGTCCCCCGCCAAGGCTGGCCTTGGATCATAAGCTTCCTACTTCTGCCTCCTGCCTAGTTGGGCTTACAGGTGTGTGCCACCACTCCTGGCTTATTCTCTGAGATAGGGGTTTGCTAATTTTTGCTGGAGCTGGCTTCAAACTTCAATCCTCCCACCTTCACCTCTTGCATAGCTGGGATTGCAGGTGTGAACCACCATGACTGGCTCAAAGTTTTATTTCTCTATGTAATATTTTCTTTCTGTACACCAGTGGATCTTTATGCACACCTCCTAAAGTATGAACTCCACTTTGGAGATTATCGGTCTAAATTTCTATCCAATCAGATTGGTCAGTTTTCCAACTGTGAAATGCTAACATGGTGTTACCACATAAGTGGATGTCGATAGAACGTAGCATTAACTGTGCATGCTCGGATGAGCCAAGAGCCTGGTCTAAGGCTTAGAAAGATATGGAGAGTCTGCCTACTGCTCTTGGCTGTTCCACCCCAGACTGTGCATGTAGAGAAAGGCTGAACTGTCAATTTGGGGCCGTGTGGAGTGCTGAGGGGTCTTCCTGTCATTGTCCCTACTAGGTCTGGGCTGTAAATCAAGGGAGCTTGTGAGGCTGAGAGATTGGTCTGAGAGTGGGAGGCTGTGCATCAGCCCAAGCCAGCAGGATAAGGGACTAGTGAAGGATGTGGGGTGACTTCCTACCTCCAGCCAATCTTGTTGGCTTTTGGAGGGCATAGAAAGAGATTGTGATGGACCCCTTTGGCTTAGTGTCAAGGAGCATGTAGACCAGAGGCAGGGAAGGCACCTGGTGCTCAGCCAAGCATGTATACCAGCATTAGGAGCCAGGTGGTATATGTGTCAAAGAGTTGACAAGTGTCAGGAACTTTGTTTTCTGCAAAGAACATAATTTGTTGTAATTGTCAGTGCTTTGGACCTAATCATTTTTAGAGAAATTGAATATTTATGATTATTTTTTGTGTGATACTGGGGATCAAAGCCCTGGTCTCAAGCATGCTGAGCACATGCCCCACTACTGAGCTACATAGCTTTAGCCATGGAACAGTCTTAGAAAAATTGGAAGGCCAATTGAGACAAGCCAGTATTTCATAGTCACATTTTGTTCTCAGACTGTTGAATGTCTTGCCCATGGTGGTTCATAAAGAAAGAAAAGAGTTGAGCTAAAAGATAATTGAAAAAATTCTGCTAGGAAGTGTGCTAGATTTCCGGAAGGATCCTCTCTTGGAATGAGCATTTTAGTTGACACAGCATAATGACTTAAAATGTCCTATGGATAGTTCACATCTAAGATTGGGTTTTCTAGTTAGGTAAGGGCTTGCCTAATGAGAAGTGACTTAATTTCAATGGTAGTGCCCCAGGGTTCAGTTGCACTTGCTTCCCATTGCTTTGGTGGTTTGCTGTGCTCCTTACCTTGTAGATGACACACCCCAGCCTAGGGGTGCCAGGTTCACACAATGGGAAGTGAGCTGCAGCCCAGGCCTTGTCTTTACTACCACCTCCCTTCTGCCACAGTGCAGTGCACAGCATCAAAAAGGGACTGTGGTAGTGAGTAGGTGTGCCTGCACCTTTAACTCCTGTGTTTACTGGACGAACTCATCTTCAGTGACATAGGTTTGGTTGACAGAAGACCAAAGCAGTGAGTATTACTGTTGACTAATGGACAAAGGAAAGGTGGTTGACCTGCGTTGGATTTGAACTTGGTGATTTTCTGGTGAAAGGAAAGTTTTCTTGGTGACATGGAGTTATGTTATTGACCATAAATAGATTTCAACTATTTCTTTTTATTACTCTGTAGCAGGTAATTTTTCCAGTATTTTTGAATGTTTAACTTTTTAAGCATGTGATTATTATTATATGAGTGATTTATTTTGTGTGAAGAGATATGAATTAGATAAAACTCTTTTATAAGCACTCTCTACTATACTCTGGGGTTTTTTTTTTTAAATACATTCTAGTGCTTAGAGCAACTTATACAGACCAATATTAAGTGAGGGTTACAATTTCTTCACGATTAAAAGTACATATTTGAGTTTAAAAGACCTAGTTATGAATAATTTTCCATTTTTTAGTGTAAATATAAATTGTCTAATTTAGCTAAGCTGTGTATAATTCTGTATGTAATTACTATTTCCCTAATACTCCAAAAGAGGATACCTCAGTATGGTGGAAAGAACACAGGTTTTGGAGACGAGGGTCTGGATTTGGGTTTTGGTTTTGAATACTTAGTCACTTTGAGACTTTGACAAAGTATGTAACCTCACTGGAAGGCAGGTTCCTCCCCATAAAATAAGGATGGTCTTTTTATTTATTTATTTTTTAATAGTCCTGGGACTTGAACCCAGGGCCTCAAGCATGCTGGGCAAGCACTCTACCACTGAGCTGTATCCCCAGTCCTCTTCTTTACAATGTTACAATTTCATCCTGCCTTTCCTCCCTTCTGGTCCTCACTACAACCCACTAAATTGCTTTTGTGACAGATGGGCATGGGCCCAGACTTCAAAAAACACCATGATAAAAAGAGGCTTGCCTAGTGAACAGTAACTCAGTAGTAATAGTAGCTGGGGGTGGTGGTACATGCCTGCAATCTCAGATACGCTGACATGGAGGCAGGAGGAGCCCGAGTTTGAGGCCAGCCCAAGCAAGTTAGCAAGATCCTGTCTCAAAAACAAAATAAAGAAAAGTTGGGAGCATACCTCAAGCACAAGGCCCTGGGTTCAATCCCCAGTGTGGGAAAAAGAAAATATTTAAATAGCAATCACGTGAATTCTCCATATGAACACGCTGTGAAGGACAGTATTAAAATAACTAACTTTGGGATTCAATCCAGAGAGACGTGGTAACTAAGGAAAGCACAGACTCCGTCATTTGTGAGTGAGGGAAACACAGGAAGGACGTCACTGTTGAAAGTAAGCTTTAATCTCTAAAGGAGTCCAGATTAGTCACATTTAAATAAAGGTGTGTCTTTAAACATGGACTTTCAAAATAGTAGCAATTCCTGAATATTTGGTTTGGGAGCGCAAAGATGCATTTTCTACAAGATTCAATGCAGCGTGACAGACTAGAAATGACGTGCGCATCCAACATCAGGAATTGGTACAGAGCCATCACAGTGGTGACGTGGGCATCTGACACAGGGACATGATAACAGGTGCCACCTCTGTAGTGCTAGCATTTCGACTCAGTTTTCAGCCTCCCCTGTGTTGTAATTGTCTATCAAATGAACACATGCTCTGTTTTACAGAGGGAACAGTTGGTTTCACACTGTGCTCACTGGTGTGTCGTGTCCCTCTTCTGACCCTGCTGACGCTTTTCTTCCAGGTGCGGGGGCACCGTTGGTGCTATTTTCACTTGCCCACTAGAAGTCATTAAGACCAGGTTGCAGTCCTCAAGACTAGCTCTGCGGACGCTCTATTATCCACAGGTTCATCTGGGAACCATTAGTGGAGCTGGAATGGTGAGACCAACATCGGTGACGCCGGGACTCTTACAGGTTCTGAAGTAAGTTCTTTCTGCCCTCTTTGTTCCTGCCGCCTGCCACCCTGCCCCCATGTTAATACAGAACATCCTCCAAGCCCATCAGATGAGCGTCCTGCCTACATAGTCTTGGTCCAAATTTGGGAGTTAGGTTTCTTTGAATGGTGACCTTGTGTGTGGGGTTGGGGGTGGTGTCCTGCTGACGTGTGATTATCATCCATGGGGATAAGTGAGTAAACAGTTTTTAAGTACAAAGAAAACTGAAAGCCTGTGTTTGAATTGTTGCTGTTGCTCAAATCTTTTGAAGGCTAAGGAGAGTGGTAGAGTAAGATTTACAAGTTGCACAAGGTAAGGGTCATGAAATAGGTAATATGGAAATGAGATGGCTTCTATTTATTTGAAAACAATTTTAAATTTATAGGTTTTTTTTATATCTATGGTAGCACTCATTTTATTATTGTTACTGCAAGAAAAATACCTCATTTGCCTACAAAGTAGCCAAATAATCTAAATTGAATGTGGCTTATCAGTCTCTTAAGCTTAAGGCAAGGTAAAAAAATTCAAAAGAACTGATTTTTGGCTTAAGACCTGTGCTTGTACTTTCCTTCCTTCCTTCTTTCTTTTTCCTTCTTTGGAGATAGGGCATCACTATGTAGTGTATCCTAGCTGTGCACTAAAGATACTCCTGCCTCAGCTTCCCAAGTGCTGAGATTACATGCATGTGCCACCACACTTAGCTGGGCCTGGCCTTGCCTGGCCTGTTCTGTCCTGTTCTGTCCTCTCCTCTCACGCCCCCACACTTGCTAGGCAGGCGCTCTACTGCTTGAACCACACCTCCATACTTTTTGCTCTGGCTATTTTGGAGATAGGGTCTTGCTTTTTGCCCAGGCTGGCCTGGACCATGACCCTCCTAGTTGGCTTTCTGCCATCACTGGGATGACAGGCACACACCACCATGACTCCTACCTTCACCACCACCCCCACCCCACCCCTGTTGACATAGGGTCTTGCAAACTTTTTTGCTCAGACTGTCATGGAACTGTGATCCTCTCATTCTCAGCCTCCCGGGCTGGGAGCATGACTCAAGCAATAGAGCACCTACCTAGCAAGTGCAAGGCCCTGAGTTCAAACCCCAGTACCATCAAGAAAAAAAATCACCATCCTACCAGTCTCAGCCTCCCAAGTAGCTAGGATTTCAGGCATGAGCCACTACTCCTGGCTGGGCCAATACTTTTTAAAAGAGGTACTCAATAAATAACAGTTGAATTTAACTGAGCATAATACTCAGATCCCTGAAACTCATCTTTAGAAGATGTGTTCAAAAAAGACATTTACTTGAGAAAAATCTTAAAAGGAGTCAGTGAATGGAAATGCTCTGCACTTTGGGCAGAGTTCAGCCATGTTTTAGATAAGTAGCATGAATGTTTGGTTTATTTTTAGGTATCCTTTGTTTGTAAAACCTACCTGTGTCACCTAGGCATCCATGTGTGCCAAATGTGTCTTAAAGGTTCATCTAGCTTATTGAGCACAACTTGGCACCACCACCAGCTGCTGGTCCAGAACCCAAGTGACCCAGGGAAGGAGAGGCCTTCTCCAAGAGAGTCCAGGAGGATTGTTCTTAAGATCCTTGAGATGGGGGAGTGAGGCTCCAAAAAGGCAGGGGGCCTTAGGACAGACAGGAAAGCTAAATGCCAGGAGACAAGGGACGCAGCTATGGATCTCATCAGGACAGACTCAAGTCCAGATCCTCAATGCTAGGAAAACACCTGTTTCCAGTCGCCTGTTCACACCTGTCGCAGCTCCTTGTCTCAGGTGACACCTTTCATCTAAGGAGCGTGCAGTGCCGTGGGCATAGTGAGTCAGAGACAGGTGATTTGCTACTTTACTAACATTCAAAATGAACTTCCTCGCACATACTTGCCAAGTAACTTACAACTAGTGACTTCAGTTTACTGTACTCGGGAAGCTGTTACCCATAAGTCATGGATGTCAGCAGGGCCAAACCTTACCTAAGAGCAATGGGAAGGGTCTATGTTTTAAGTTCAAGAGGATATAAATTCTACATCTCCAGTATCTTATCTCTGTTATCTCCTGTAAATACCCCCAGCCCTAGAGCACCACACCTGTGTGTCCCCCAGCTAGGGCAATTGTTCATTACAAAGTAAACTAAAGGAAAAGGTTAGTCCATGTTTTAAAATGCAGGAACAGACATTTCCACTAAGAACCTTCAGCATTCATTCGTGGCTATAGCCACAGCTACAAAATAAGGAGTACTCACTCACATGTGAGTTCAGCATTAATTACTTACACTGCTCTCACATCAAAATAGACACAGTGGTATTAAGAAAACTTTTAATTATGATGCTGTGTTAGAAAAGTGTCTGTGGAGTGCCAGACTTTACCTAAGCGCTGTTGTAGTCATTTAAGGTTTTTTGTTTGTGTTGTTTTTGAACTCAAGGCCTACACCTTGAGCCACTCCACCAGCTCTTTTTTGTGATGGTTTTTTCAAGATAGGGTCTTGGAACTATTTGCCTGGGCTGGCTTTGAACCACAATCCTCCTGATCTCTACCTCTTGAATAGCTAGGATTACAGGAGTGCACTACTGGTGCCCAGCTTCACTTAAGTTTTATTTCCTCAACCTGGCATATACACTTAACAGGATTCTCCAGCACAATTCAGCTAGTGGTTATGGTTTTCAAATAAAAAAAGTGCTTACTTTCATGCAGTAGTTGTAATGTTTCATTGGTTTTTCACAACATCCTTAAGGGACTAGCATTCAGACCTACTATTTCCTCCATTTTGGAGCGGAGGACATGCAGAGCAGCAGTTAAGTGACATACCCAAAGTCATGTTTCATGAATAGCCACCTTATTTCTAAGAACAATTTGGAATGGCCAAGAGCAAAGTGAAAAACATCAGCAAAAAAAGCCCAGAATGCCGGGCACCTATGGTTCACGCCTGTAATCCTAGCTACTCAGGAGGCAGAGATCAGGAAGATCAAGGTTCGAAGCCAGCCAAGGCAAGTAGTTCATGAGATTCTATCTCAAAAAAAAAAAAATCACAAAAAAGTACTGGCGAAGTAGCTCAAGTGATAGAGTACCTGCCTAGCAGGCTTGAGGCCCTGAGTTCAAACCCCAGTACCACCAAAAAAATAAAAGCCCAGATCGAGGCTGGGCTGCTGCAGAGATCTTTCAGAGCTCTCCCGTGGAGATGCAGCAGCTGCTGGAACCACATCCTAAGCCACCTCTGCTGACTGTGTCTGCTGCCGCCGCCAACCTACTGCAGGAGGGTCCACGACTCAGAGCCTGGCTAGCTCCTCTAGTGACAGTCACTCCCTCGGTTGGTGCAAATACCATCTGTGAGTGACAGTGTTTCTCAAACACCACCGGCTGTCTGTTTTGACAGCTCAAATGTTCATCAACCATTCAAAACATAATGGGCACAAAACCAAACCCATAACTCCTGCTCCCAGAGTCCTTCCTGTCTTGTTAAAGCAGCTTCTTCCTGGAAGCCATATAGTTCCTAGGGCCTCAGAGTCTTATTTGTCTCAACCCCACTGCAAATTCTATTACCTCTGCCTTTTGTTCACCACCTCCTCTGGTTCTGTCCTGATAGAGGCCACCTTGTCACCCCTGGGCTGCTGCATTAGCTTCCTAACTAACTGCTAGCCCCTCCACTATCCCCTCTGTTCTCAGCAGTGCAGCTGGGAGATCCTCTACTCACATCCCTCAGGCCCCTGAGCCCACCAGCCTCCTCAGTAGCTGGTCCTCCCATGACTCCCCTGACTTCACCTCCGTTGCCCTTCTTCTTGTTCTTTAGGCCACCTGAAGTCCTTAAGGCCTTGGGCTGAACATTATCTGCGTGTCTGTCCCTTCGCAGGAAGGCCTTGCAGTGGCCCTCCTCCTGCTTTGTCCACAGCACTCACCTCCATCTATGAGCATGTTGTTTACTTACATGCTCTTTTCTACCCCCCGCCCCAGAGGTGGACTTGTGTTTATTTTGATCATTGACATGCTCTCAGCCTCCTAGAAGTTTGCCTATGACTGAAGCAGCACTCAGTGCCAACAGAGGGAGTGAGTTTGGGCGGGTCAGGAGGTATTGCATACAAGGACTTGACACCCTCCCACCATGTAAATAATTACTGCTGTCAGAACAGCATGGGCTTTTCTGTGTTTTTTTTAAAGAGTTCAAGATTTGTAACTGAGTTTCTTGGCAGCCAAGGCCATGAAGGAGAGCATCATACTATGTAGATCTCATCTAAGAAAGCTTGCTTAACCTTCAGGGCAATATGTTCCCTATCCTTTCTGTTGGTAAATTCAGAAAACAGTCTGCAGACAGCACCAGTACCACTGTGGGCAGTGTGGTCACAGAGTATGGCCGCTTCCCTGGTGGGAGCCGTCCTCCTTTGTCCCCTGCACTATCATAGCAACTGCTCTGAGCCAGGAGCAGCACCGATGGTCTGTAGAGAGGGCTCTTTACGGAGGCAACAGGAAGCAGGGACGTGGGTCCAGGCCTTGTCTACACTGCAAGGCCCATCCCTGTTCTGTAAACATTTCCAGAAGACACTGTGTTTATCAACACCAAATGAATGGCATGGCCACTCCTTTAGAATGCAGTGGGCTGTGGCTTGTCTTCTCTTTCAGGGACTTAGCAGTTACCAGAAGTTACTATCTTTCAAAATACCAGTCATTGCTTGCTGGTTCTCATACTAGGTTAATCTATTAGAGAAAAAGTATTCTCCATTGAGAATGGCTAACTTTTGTCCTTTGAATAGTTACATAAAAAGAAAAAAAGCAAGATGCTAACCAAACCAATTCAGACTCTCACTATCAAATGCGTTTGTTTTAGGAATTCACTCTTTTAAAAAAAGTCTTCTGATTTAATTTTTTTTTTTTCAACAAAGCTCCTATCCTTTAAACCTCTGAGGTACCTCCTATCTGTTTTTTCAAGTATCTTTTCAACCTGAGAAGGTGCCTACAAGTGAACTACTCTATCTTTTCAAAGCTGGCATGTTCAGATGACATACTTGTTTTGCATTCCTTTGTGGTGTGCATATTGTGATTTAAAACTGGAGAGAATGAAATGCTCCAAACAGGACTTTGATTTGTTTGCATTTTCCGTATGGAAGCGAGCATGAGTGTGGCAGAGAGCCCGGATCCTCCTTTCAAAGCCATTGTGGTAGGGACTTGATTGTTGCAGAGGAGTGCTGTAAACATCCAGATAGGCTAGAAGATCAGACTATATAACAGATCTGACTCTCAGCCAACTGTTAAATATGAGTAACTGCGGAGACGGTCTTTCTTCAGTTCTTAAAAGACCTGAGTCACTTGAGGACATGCGCTCCCTGCTGTATTATGGATGAGGGCTCCAGCTTCCTGGAGCCAGAGATTCCCCTAATTGTGTTTAAATGGCCCCTGAGCTGTACAGTGTACATTACTGGGGACCACAGATGGAACCGAAGCCTAAGGAAATGGCCAGATACACTTAGCTTTGCAAGCCTTTTTTACGCAGTACTGTATTGTAAGTACACCTCAGGGCATTACTTAGAGAATATTTTGTTCAGAGAGCTGGGTCTTTTAAAAACAATCCTGTTTTGAGAAAGATAGCAAAAGTAAAGTGTTTTAATTTGAAAACATTAAATTCTCATGCCTCTCTTGAGAGCCAGGTGGCTTATTTTCAGCCAGTTTGAGTATTCATTGAGATTCCAGGAATTTCATTTTGAAGCATTGAGTTTATGGAATCCCAAGAATTGTGTTTACCCTAAGCCTTGTGTTTCATAAACTTCATGGGCTTTCATCATGATCTCAGTGTTTTATGGCCTACAGTAAGCTTTTTTAAAAATAACTTTTTATTTTGAAATAAATCAGACAATAGAAAAGTTACAGGAATGGTACAGATAATTTGCTTGTATCTTACTAGATCCACCCAGTTTTTAACATTTTGCTGTGTTTCTTTGCATTTGGGCTCTATATCCACACGTGTATTTTCTGAGCCATTTGAAAATGGGAGGTATGCATCCTGACCCTCACCCTCAGTTCTCCACCATTCACTTCCTAAAAACAAAAGCATTCTCTTAAAACCACAGTGCAGTTTTCAAATTCAAGAAATGTTGTGTTGCACCAGTGGCTTATGCCTGTAATCCCAGCTACTCATAAGGCAGGAAGATCGTAGTTCAAAGCCACCCTGGTCATATAGTTCCACAAAACCCTATCTCTGAAAAACTCTTCACAAAAATAGGGCTGGTAGGAGTGGCTCAAGGTGAAAGCCCTGAGTTCAAGCCCCAATCCTGCCAAAAAAAAAGAACGAAAGAAAGAAATTTCATGTTGATCAAACACTACTTTTGAACTATTCTACAATCTGACTTCCAGTTTTACTGTTTTTCCATTGTAAACAATTGATTTAGTACAAGAACTAAATTTTAAAACTGTTTTCCTACCAATATCTCTCCTCCTCTCTAGATCTTTTTTCTTCATCCTCCTTGCCTGGTTTCATTTATTTTTTAAACACCTTTATTAAGATATAATTCACATGTCATATAATTTCATGCTTTTAAAGGTGAATCATTTAGTCAGGCACAGTGATGCAATCCTGTAGTCCCATCTACCCATTACAGGGAGACCCTTTCTCAAAAAAAAAAAAAGCTTACTGTTCCACTAATTTTAGCATGTTCACACCAGAGTTTGTACAACCATTACCACAATTTAATTTTAGAATATTTTCATCCCCTCTAAAAGAAACCCCTTTACCTGTTTGCAGTTACTTCCCATCTCTCACCCCAAACCCTAGGCAACCAATCAATATCTCATCTGGACATTTCACATAAATAAAATCATGTAATGTGTGGTTTTTTCTGACTTCTTCACTTAGCCTGATGTCTTTTGAAAGCTCATCCATATTGTAGCACACATCAGTAGTCCTTCCTCTTTATTGCTCAACAGTATTCCATTGTCTATTAAGTCTTATTTTAAACTCACTGCAGATGCCAAAGGAAAAGTGAACCATCTGCTGCACTTGAGTGAGGTGTACTCGGTAGTCACCTAGGGTGGCAAAGCCACATACCTTCATGTACTTGACCAAAGCGATTAGGTTAGTCCAGGCCACATAAACGAGTGCATGTTGGGAGGTTAAATGAGAGACCGTAATAAAATGACAAAAGTTCTGTTGGATGCCAGTAGAAAATGGAGCCATTGGAAGAATAAACTTAACCAACTGGAAGAATCACTGCAGCAAAGTGGAGAAATGTCTCAAAAGAACATTTTATACAGTCACTTTAGGATTTTCTGTGCTGCTTTTAATCAGAAACCACATTTAACTTTTTTTTTTAAAGCACATGGGTGAGGTTATGGAAAAATTAGAACACTTGTGCTTTGCTGATAGAGATACATGGTGGTATAGCCCCTATGGAAAAGAGTGTGGCCATTCCTCAAAACCTAAGCATAGAATGACCATGTGATCCATCAAGTAGACTCCTTGGGATATACCGAAAAGAATTAAAAGTAGGCTCTCAAGCAGGTACTGTATTTGTTATAGCAGCATTACTCACAATAGCCAAAAGGTGGACACGATCCATTCTAAAGTGTGGTTATACAGCAGTGGGTCTGTGAAAAGAAGGGAGTTCTTTTTTTTTTTTTTTTTTTGTGGTACTGGGGCTTGAACTCAGGGCCTACTACACTGTGAGTCACTTTGCCAGCCCTTTTTCTTGTGAAGGGTTTTTTGAGATAGGGTCTCTCTTTTTACCTGGGCTGACTTCAATCCACGATCCTCCTGATCTCTGCCTCCTGAGTAGCTAGGAGTGCCTATGAACCACTGGTGGGGACCAGTAGGGTCCCACATTTGCTAGGCAAGTGCTCTTACCACTTGAGCCACTCCACCAGCCCTTTTTTGTATCAGGCATTTTTTCAAGATAGAGTCTTGTAAACTACTTGTCCAGGCTGGCTGATCTCTGCTTCCAGAGTAGCTAGGATGATGGTCGTGAGCCACGGATGCCTGGCTAAGAAGGGAATTCTAACACATGTGCAGACACAGATGAACCTGGCAACTTGCTAAGCGAAATAAGCTGGTCAGAAAGAGGATAAGTACCGTAAGTGTCGCTCAGTGGTAGAGTGGCTGTCTAGAAAAAGAACAAATGTTACCTGATTCCACTGATGTGATGTATCTAGAACAGACAAACTCAGAGAGACTGAAAGTAGAATGGTGTTGCCATGACTCAGGGTTGGGGGAGAAGGGACAAAGGGGAGTTAGGGTTCAGCAGGGACAGTCTCAGCTGAGAAGATGAGGTTCTGTAGGCAGATGGCAGTGCCGGTTCACAGCAGTGTGGATGTCCTTAGTACGAATAACCATGCACTTAAATATAGGGCTGGAGGTGTGACCCAAACCACACCTGCCTAGCGAAGCCCTGAGTTCTAACCCCAGTACCACCAAAATAAAAAGAAAGAAAGGTTAAAATGGTAAACTTTATGTTACGTATATATTATCACAGTTTTAAAAATTAAAAAGGAACATCAGTCACAGTATTGACTTTGGCTTTAAATAACCTTCATATGAACCATGAATCTTTTGTTATTCTATCCCATCTATCTTTTTTCTTTTCTTTTTCTTTTCTTTTTTTTTTTTTTTTTTTTTTTGAGGTACATAGCCTAGTGAATGCTCTACCACTTGAGCCATGCCCCCAGCTCTTTTTGCTTTAGTTATTTTTCAGATAGGGTCTTGCACTTTTTGTCCATGACAGCCTTTGGTAGAGATCTTCCTATCCCTGCCTCCCAAGTAGCTGAGATGATGGGCATAAGCTGCCATACCTGGCTCCTTACTCCTCTTTAGGACTCTACTACAATTAAGATAAAGAATTGTTATAAATATGGAGTAAATCCAAAAGAACTGCTCCCCAAACAAATCTCTACACCCTTTTCTCAGTGGATCTTGTGATTAAAGACCCCAGTCCCTTCTCCAGATGCTCATCCTACCTTTCCAGGTTGTGAGTGTGCAGCACAAACCTGAACCCCCTGGTGCTGCTTGTTGAAAGTGTGCCTTGTGCTGTGGAAGCGCGCTTTTCACTGTATGAATGACAGTGCTATTCTGTAATCTGACTGTGTATTGAAGAGTCAGGTGAGAGTCTGGAGTCTCGCGAATGTTCTGTTCCCTCTAGCTGAAGAGGAGCTTGAGCTCATCATTTGGCATTGGCCTTGCTCAAGGGGTCTTAAAGGTATATTTTTTCTTTTATTCAGGTCTATCTTGGAGAAAGAGGGACCAAAGTCACTTTTTAGAGGCTTGGGTCCAAATTTGGTTGGAGTTGCACCATCAAGGTAAGCAGGCTCACTGCAAACAGTGCACAATGTGAGTTTGAGTTCTGTTGCCACAGGGGAACCTGTTAAATGATTGGTTGCTTCTTCTATGTTGGATTTGCCTAAACATAGCTGACATGGAGAAATAGTGATGGCTCTGGGTATGCTTTTTAGTGTGGAGAGATTCTGGTTATTTATTATGAAAATTAACCTGCTGTCACCACCTGTAATCTCTTGAGTTGTTTAATGCTCGAAGCACAGTGTGTCGTCAGTACCTGGGTGTTCTCTAGAAGCCTGTTAGAAAACCACAGTCCCAGCACACCCAAGCCTACGTCAGAGTCTGCACTGTGATGAGACCCCTGGTGACTCGTGCACTTAGAAACACTGATCTGTAGGGACAGCAGAGGCTTCTAGGCTTTACGTTTATAAACCAACATCCTCATTTGTTTCTGTTTTTTGTTTTTTTACAACACTTAATTCTCTTTAAAACCTGTGTACGCCTGTTTAAATATATGAAACTGCACTGTCCCAGTACAGTAGGCACTGGCCACATGCACCTGCTTAAATTTAATTAAAATTAAAGATTCAGTACCTCAGTCTCTAGCCACATTTCAAGTATTCAGTATCCACATGTAGCTAGCAGTTCTGTACTGGAGAGCAGATAGGGAGCCTTCCATCTTTGCAGAAAGTTTTGTTGGACAGTGCTAATGGAGGTGGGTAACTGTGAGTGGTATACAATGTGAGTGTGTGTGTTGTCGAAGACCAAAATTACAATAATTCAGTTTGAAAGGTTTTAATGGACTTTATTTTCAATTCAAGAATCAGGCAACTCTTCATTCCATAAAATAAATATTCCCGTGGGTTGAGCAGAAGAAGTTGGTTTTATAGACTGAAGGGCTATAAAAGCGTAAAGATCAAAAAGTAGATTGGACATTTCAGAGTTATTTCCTTATAAGGCAGAACAGGGAGACTGAACAACAGAAAGGTGATAGGTTAACATCAGGTTGCTTTTTTTCCTAAGGATTAAAGCTGAAGGAACTTCATTACCATGCGGTTGAAAGCGGCCTGTTGGGAAATTTGACTTCTCTCCCTAACCTTTTTTCTTAGAAGGTCAGATAACTTTAGCACAGGTGATTCCATTTTTTGTCTGGTCTTTTGGGGCCTAGTGCCAGAGCTTAGTCTAATGGCTTCCTGAATTTTTATTTAACAATAGTCAAGATCCTAACATGAAAAACAGATTCTATGATTGATTTATTGGTCAGTAGGGAAAAAAAAAAAGGCATTTTCCCTGCATAGCAGGGAAACTCCCAAGTAGCCCATACACCTCAGTGCCAACAAGGAAGACAGAGGAAAGACCAAGAGGACTGGGGTGTAGGCTATGGAAACACTGTGCACTTATTTGTTGTGATCCTGAGTCATCCACAAATAGTTCTAATTATATTTGACTCTTTTTGTTGTAAGGCAGAATAAATGTGGTATATTTAAGAAACAGTACAAATTTTAAAAGATGTGGTGGTGAACATCTATAATCCCAGCACTTGGGAGGCCGAAGCAGGAGAATCACAAGTTTGAAGCCGGCCTGTTAGTGAGTTCTAGGGCAGCATAGGCTATGCAACGAGATTCTGTCTCAATGCCACCCCCCAAAAAAAAAAAAGTTACACAGTATATGGCATACATAAAGAATGAGCATTATATACAGAAGAAGAATGTAAAGGGGCTTTGTACATGTCTCCATTATTTTAGACTCTTCTGGAGGGGAGAAGTTCCAGGGTGGCAGGTCTGGGTTTCACACCATGAGGGCGTGCTTCTGGCTTCGTTGCTGACTTCTTTCCCATACTGCTTCTCATGTTATCTTCCTGGTTGAGATAGTGTGGAGCGCATCTGTGTTGTGTAGTACCACGATGACTTCTTTATAGTGTTTTCTCTTTGTTCTAACAGGGCTGTGTACTTTGCATGTTACTCCAAGGCCAAAGAACAATTTAATGGCATTTTCGTGCCTAATAGCAATGTTGTGCATATTTTCTCAGCTGGCTCTGCAGGTATGTTACCTAGTGACTGAGATGAAAGATTCTCGCTTCCCAAAGCACACACTGTTCCCCCCCCCCCCCCAAGAACTGGAAATAGCTCACTGCTTCTTTTGTACCTAAAATGACCTTTCAAAAGCTTGGTGTTACAACTGATAGAACACACACATTTGAGAGCAGCTAGAGCGCATTTTCACTGACCACTCAAGCTTTTTAATTCTTGCTCAAAATTTACATGTTCTCCTGCATGTTACTGGTCAGTGTTACGTTTCCCTTGAAGGAATATTAATATGTTTTCTGTGTCTTCCTGCTTTCCCAGAGTGTCTGGGACACATCTGCACACAACAGCTGGATTGTACAGCAGGGCTTGGTGGGGTTGGGGAGGCTCAGGAGGGCCAGTGACAGGCCAGAGGCTTCTCTTCCCATTTGAGGGAGTCATTCCATCACGGCAGAGCTCAAGGCAGGACTTCTCCCAGGAAGCACTTGGTGGAATGCACAGACTTGCACATTGCCAAGAAAAGACAGTCTTTTATAGGGAGCTTTATGTCATCTAACTACACAGCTCTTTTAGGAAATTTAAATTGGTATTTTAGAAAAACTTTCTTGTGCCAGCCTCTAAGGTGTCCACACCAGTTTTGTTTGCCTTTGTTACACGCAATAAAATTACTAGCAACCCATCTGAATATTTATAGGTTATGATTTCTAGCCCCTGAATACAAAATAATTCAAAGCAAAGATAAAGGTGTTCTTACTGAAATGGAGCTCTGTGGAGTACATGTAACACTCCAAAACAGGCTGATCTTCACTTAATAGGCCTAAGTGAGTTAGCCGTGATCTAACTAATCAATTTTGTAATGCTTGAAAACTAACTTAGCAGAACCCTGGGTAAATGAAGCAGACCTTGTGGGAGCTTCTTAAACCAGTGTCCTCCAAGTGTCTAGTTAATCTACTTCCTCTACTCAGGACTCTGGCTGCAGGAGGGATTAGAGGAGAGTTTGCTAATACTGCGATGTTGCCTTTTTTAGTTGTCCGGGATGATTAGTAATGCTAAGATGCAGAAGGCTTATCAAAAACTGATTCCTATAAGCAAATCAGTTTCTAAAACTTCAGTTTCCTGAAATGATTTGTCAGGTTTTTAAATCTCTGCATTTGAATTCATATAAGTGGAGATTTAATTCGTTCATTCCACTTTAGAGAGAGAGTTGCCTTTGGACTAAATCAGCAACTTAAAAATATATGTATTTCTGGATCTGGGGTTTCTAAGTTGGCTTTTTTGAGTTTTACCCTAGAAATCCCATGAACAGAAATGCCAACAGCACCCCCTAGAGGCTGGAAAGGCCAGCAGGGCTCTAGAAATTGAGTGATTTCTTTGGGGACCCGCAGTAGCAATAGGTTTTTAGGAGACTGTGGCTTCCATCTGCAGTATGGAGGTGTGACTGCCTCCTGCTATCCAGTTTTGTTAAGGCATTGACATCCTGACTTCAGAGTGTATTGTATGGTGTAGACAGCTTTAATAAATACTGGTTGTGTTCAGTTATGACTTCTCTGTGTGTGTTTTTTTTTTTTCCTTCCAGCTTTTGTCACAAATTCCTTAATGAATCCTATATGGATGGTTAAAACCCGGATGCAGCTAGAACGGAAGTAAGTTATTAATCATTCCTTCCTTAATATAAGAATTCCTGGGAGCTGGGAACCAGTGACTCACGCCTGTAATCCTAACTACTTCGGAGGTTGAGATTGGGAGGATTGTGGTTTGAGACCAGCCTGGGCCAATAGTTCATGAGACCCCCATCTCCAAAGTAACCAGACCAAAATAGACTGGAGGTGTGGCTCAAGCTTAGTGCACCTGCTTTGCAAGCAGGAAGACCTGAGTTCAAACCCCAGTCCCTTCCCCCTACCCCCAAAAAAAGAATTCTTGCAGATTTTTTTTTTTTCTGCTCCCTCCAGTTCTAGCTACTGGGTTAGACATAGGAGTTCTTAGCTATACTTTTGTGATCTTATTTTTTTTCCTCAATCTAAGCATGTGTTGAAATTCCTTTTGTTTTGAGAGTTGTACTGTAAACATTACATTGAGGGGAGAGGAGGGTCACAGAGATGACAGAGGGTCAATGGGAAGTCCCTCAGTGGTCCTGACTTCCTTCTCCAGTAGTCCTGCAGGTGGAGTGGTGAGGACTGTTAGAGGCCTGGCTTTCCTGTGGAGCCTTCAGGCTCAGAGGGTACTCTGAATATGGCCCTCTAGTATGCTAGATTTCTGCCCTGAAACTCTAACCAAGAGTTCTCAACTTTTTGTGTGTGTGTGTGTGCCATGAATTCCTTTAACATTCTGGTGAAGCCTGAAGGTCTTTTATAGAATAAAGGTTTGGTTTGGTTTTGGGGGTTTTTTTTGAGACAGTTTCACTATATGTAGCCTAGGCTGGCTTTGAACTAGCTATCCTCCTATCAGTTTGTCAAGTGCTGGAATTACAGGCATGAGCCACCAACACCCAGCGAGAATAAAGTTTTTTAAGAGAAAAGGAAAGCATTATTGAAATATAGTTGTCAGTATTAGAACGTGATACAGTAACAATGCTTCTTTAGTGTATTAAATAACAAGATTTAATGCCAGTCCAGGAACTCCTATAGTTTCAAAGAAGTGATTGAAACAGTGCTTTTTATGTTGGTGACTAACGTGGGAGGGAAATGTTTGTATTTGTGTACAACCACAGATGCTGTTAATACTACTGTGGCCATTACCTGCATTCATAGTTGAGAGGTGCTGGTGTCTATTAGAGATTAGGCCTAAATGGAATTTTCCTCCTGGTCTAATTTCAAGGAACTGCCTGGGTTCTCTGTGCTACTGTTGCCTAGAAATGTGTACCCTGGAAACTTCTAGATGGCCCAGTCAGCTTTTTGTCTACCTATAAGGAAAGGAGGGAAAGAGGGTGAGATGCCCTGGAGGGGTAGAGAGGACTTGCCTGCATTCTTTGTCCTCTCATGAGCACGACAGCTTTGTATGGTCTGAAACCCCAGGTTCCCCAACCCATTCTGCCTTCTGCAGTGCACCAGGTCTGACCCTTTGAACGGATTGCTTGCTCGGAATCCTTTGATGAGTGTCAGTTACTCTCAGGGTAAATAACTTCTGAACTAAGCATTCAACAGTCCTTTGCAGTTTTCCAAAAATGTCATGTACTCCAGTGTGTCTGCCTCCCTCACTAGGAATCTGGTGCTCTGTCTCTCACCAGGAATTTCCCCTGCCCTTCTTGGTTGTGTGGTGCTAACATCTGCTTGTCCTTGAGCTTCTGACCAGCCTTGTCTCCCAGCAGCCTTTGGTATCTCTCCCAGTGCCAAGAGCTCACAGAGTCCTAATATCACTTCTGTTTAGCAGCAGGTAAACGCATCAGTCAGTGGAGAGCCTTCCCACATGTTCTTTTAACCTCCCTGCTACACACTCAAGCTGTTTCAGAACTTTGGTTCGTGGGGTCTGAACACCTGTCTCTCTACAATGAGCATTTCTTGCTGCAGTGGTCAATAAAGAAGCAGCAGGGAATAGAACACAGCTCCTACCTTCTAGCTTGCAGCATTAGAGACAGTGAACAAAGACAATGGTTGTCTGGTGCAACAAGGAGCCTGAGGCATCCCAGGACCCTGGTGGGTCCCCTTGTGCAGTCCAGGCAAAGGGAAGACAGGAGGTTGGAGGGCCTTCTGCAGCAGCAATAAATACCTGCACCATCTGGAGAGCTGCCAGGTGTGGGCGACAGAGAGAACACTGAGTAAAAGCTCGATTGTTCTTATTTTGCACTTCTAGAATCAGCAGTACTTTATACTGTAAACTAGTGAGTCCAGCAGAGGAGATTGCTTTGTAGATAGAAAGGGCTGTCTACAAAAGAAACAACATGCTGGGGGGCAGTGCTGCTGTCTATAATCCTAGCTACTTGAGAGGCTGAGATTGGGAGTATCAAGGTTCAAGGCCAGCTGGACAAATAGTTCATGAGATACCATCTCCAAAAAAATAACCAGAGCAAAATGGACTGGAGGTGTTGCTCAAGAGGTGGATGGCCTGCTTTGCAAGAATGAAGCTCTGACTTGAAATCCTAGTCCCACCAAAAACAAAATAAAACCAAGCACGGTGGCTCACGCCTATAATCCCAGCTACTCGGGAGGCAGAGATCAGGAGGATGGGAGTTTGAAAGCCACCCCCAGGCAAATAGTTCATGAGATCCTAGCTTGAAAATATCCAACACAAAAAAGGGCTGGCAAAATGACTCAAGTGGTAGAGCACATGCCTAGCAAGTATGAGGCCCTGAGTTCAAACTCCTGTGCCCCCAGAAAATAAATAAAAGAAACAACTAAAGTAGATTACTTGTTTCAAAGTTACTTTCATTATAAGGTGGGGGCAAGGAGATAGAACAACAGTAAAATAACTGGCCAACATCAGTTTACTCTAGGTTACCTTTTTTTGGGATTAAGGCGGAGGGAACTAAGTTTGGAAATAATAGAATGAAAATGCACCATTTATACATGAGGCCCTGGATTCAACACTGAGCTCACACACACAAATTGCACCATTGGGAGAACAGAGCATAAAAGAGAGCACTTTATAAAACTCATCAATGTGTCAGAAGTTTGGTGTTTCCTTTGGTATTTTCCTGAAACATACATGTGTCATAGTTACAGTTTTACTTTATGTAGAATTTTGTCCTGCTTTCTACTTAAAGTGTTTTCCCATTTGTACTGCTGTCATGACTGTTTTAATCTAGGGTGTGTACAAAGTTGACTTACATGTTCCTGTTTTTAGATACTAGGATTGTCCTCCACTGGCTCTTTCTAGAATGGGGTCAAAGGCTATGTATGCCCACGTTTCTGTTACGGCTGATGCACGTGGAAACAATTCTGGGGGCCTGTCATGAGTCCTGGCTGACCTCACAGAGTGGGCCAGGGGCCAGCTGGCTGCAGAACCAGGAGGACAGGTTCCTCCTTCTGTTGTTTCTTTGTGCACTGAGCAATCACCCTTGTGACTTGATGGTGCACCTCTCAGCCACCTGCCATTGATTTCCTTTGTGTAGAGTGAGGGGCTCCAAGCAGATGAATACACTCCAGTGTGCCCGGCACGTGTACCAGACTGAAGGTATTCGCGGCTTCTACAGAGGACTAACTGCCTCCTATGCTGGGATCTCAGAAACGATAATCTGCTTTGCCATTTATGAAAGTTTAAAGAAGTGTCTGAAGGAAGTCCCACTTGCCTCTTCAACAAACGGAACTGAGAAAAATTCCACAAGTTTTTTTGGACTCATGGCAGCTGCTGCTATCTCTAAGGGGTGTGCCTCCTGCATTGCTTATCCACACGGTATGTTTTGCTTTTTTTTTCCAGAGCAGCAAAACATGTGTCAGGTTTGTCATTTGTCACTAGCTAGCCTCTTAGCTACTCAGGAGGTAGAGATCAGAAGAAGCCAGCTCCAGACAAATAGTTTGCATATCTCAAAAAAAAACCCAACACAAAACAGAGCTGGTGGCGTGGCTCAAGTTAATTCAAGTAGAATTAGCAAGCGTGAGGCCGAGTTCAAACCCCAGTGGCCCGCCCCGCCCCCAAAAAAAAAAAAATTCTTGTGACCAGAAGTGTTTCAGCATTACAAGAGTTTCAATTTGGAATACACGCATAGACCTCCCCGGTGGGTGTGCCTAATCCTGCCAGCAGGATGCTCCATTGGGTGCAAATTCCAGATCCCCAGACTGGGGATGCTTACCCTTACCTGCACATAGGTGAGTATGAATGACGCTGCCATTAACCGAATGCATGCTGGGAACTTTGCCTCGATCACCTCCAACTTTGTGCAGCCAAAACACACTGTGCAGAAATCTGGCCCTGTGTACTTCCAGTGTTTTCAAAGAAAAATTCCTTGATTCAAAAAAATTGGTTGGAGCCAGACTTAAAAATCACGCAGTCTCCACAGTGAAAGGGGCACTGCATCAGGCTCATTTGAGGAAGTGCATGTTTTAAACGTTTTGTTTGCTTTGGTGCTGGGGACTGAACCTCAGGCCTTGATTATGCTAAGCACAGGCTCTACCACTCAGCTACACTACAACTTTAGGGAATTATAGAATTAACCACTGCACTACTTTAAAGAAAAAAAAAGGGAGGGTGGCCATGGCTCAAGTAGTAGAGTCTGTCTGGGAAGAGCAATGCCCTGAGTTCCAGCCTCAGTACTGTGAGAAAAAAACAAAAAACCTTAAGTTTGTCGGGCCATGAAAAACAGGCTTTGTTTCCAAAAGCCTCCTAAACTGACAGCAATGACATGCCCCAGCCGTCTCAGTGACAGGTATTGAGGCTGCTCGTGCTGAGTCACAGCTAAGGGAACCCCCAGGGACTAATGGAGAAGAGGTCAGCAATGCCTCCCTCTGTCTGAGGTCCCCATGACAGGGAAGCACTGAGCTTTGGGGATCCAGGAGGAGGCCAGGTGGACAGAGTCCTGAAGGAAGAGGAGCTGTTTTTCAGCTGGAGAGAGATTTGCAGAGGAGAAAGTTGGAAGTACGAGATGGTCTAATCTCTGAACTTTTTCTTTTCTTTTTGGGTACTCAGGGCTTACACATTGAGCCACTCCACCTGCTCTTTTTTGTTATGGGTTTTTTTCAAGATATGGTCTCGTGAACTATTTGTCTGGGTTGGGTTCAAACTGTGATCCTCCTGATCTCTGCCTCCTTAGTAGCTAGAATTACAGGCATGAGCCACCCACGCCTGGCAAAACTTACCTTTTCATTGTCTAAGCAAGTGACTCTCCTGTCCTCATACAACTGAGATGGCAAACAGACACAGCTGAACTTGACTTCTTTCCTTCTTTATTTCTCTCTCTGCAGAGGTCATAAGGACAAGGCTCCGGGAGGAGGGCACCAAGTACAAGTCCTTCGTCCAAACAGCACGCCTGGTGTTCCGGGAGGAAGGCTACCTCGCCTTCTACAGAGGACTGTCTGCCCAGCTCATCCGGCAGATCCCTAACACTGCCATCGTGCTGTCCACCTACGAGTTTATCGTGTATCTGCTGGGAGACCACGCACAGTAACAAGCCACGGTTGTGCTCTAGGAGAATAAAACTGGAAAATTCTAGAGATTTTTTTTCTCGTTGACGTTTAGTGTTCAAAACTGAAACTGGAAAGGCCATAGAATGTCTGGCTTATATCACCTGTCGGACATTTCCTTTTGGATTCATGCTTTCTGGAAGGTTTAAATTCATTAACGTTAATAGTTAATTATTACTTTTTTTTTTAACTTAAGAGGATGGAGAAGCAGCAACTAAATTAAATCATGCTATTTAATTTAATTATACATTTGGTTTGTGTTCTCTTTTATGCTCATTGTACTGTAAACTAAGTACATCAGAAAAACGTGCCCTAAAACGTAGAGAAAAAAGATAAACTCAAAACGCAACTCACTTCCTAATATGCTAGATGGGAAGTGTCTCATTTTGGTGGCACTGTGGGTAAACTTCCCTATGTTTCTTTTTTGTACATTTCTAGTTCTTCATACAGATTGATATTCTGTAATTGATAATCTAAGCTTTCAGCACTGAAATGAAAAAAATAGGTATAACTTTTTTACTTTTTTTTTTTTTGAGACAAGTTCTTGCTATTTTGCCCAGGCTGGCCCCAAACTCTTGATCCTACTGCCTCAGCCTTCTGAATGCTGGGATTACAGGTGTGTACCTCCATGCCCAGCTGACACTGAATATTTTAAGCTATAAACATTTTCTTAGTTACCTCTTCTCCTGCCATTTGAACACAAGGCAGAAATAGTTTTTAAGAGCTGTTTATCAGTTGCCTCACTCCTGGACATATTTCCAAGAAGTGAAGCCTCATTAAGCCCAGGCTCTAGTTGGCTATGAACGACACATGTGATAAGCGATACTGTTCCCTCTGGGGTCTGTGCCACCATTTCTGCTGTTGGAGAAATGCAATGCCACTCAGGAGTAATTGTCGCCTAGGTCACTTATATTCCCACAGGAGGTGCTGTTGTTATTTAAATACTCTTAAACTCATGTTTGTAATCCCAAACCCAGCCCAGGGCAAAAAAGTTAACAAGACCCCATCTCAACAAGACAAGCTACCATGTGGTGGTACAAGTCTACCATCCCAGTTACTCAAGAGGCATAAACAGAAGAATTGTGGTCCAAGGCCAGCATGGACAAAAAAGTGGGAGACCCCACCTGAAAAATAACTAAAAGCAAAAAGGGCTGGGGCGTGGCTCAAGTGCTAGAGCACCTACCTAGCAAGTGCAAGGCCCTGAGTTCAAACCCCAGTACTGAAAAAAGTGCCTAAAAAGAAAGGTACCCTAAGTACCTTTGAGTACTTGCCTGTAATCCTAGCTTCTTGGGAGGTTGAGACAAGAGAAAATGATGGTTCAAGTCCAGCCTAGGCAATTATTTTTCGAGACCCCCCATCTCCAAAATAACCAGAGCAAGATAGACTGGAGATGTGGCTTGAGTAGTAGGGTACCTGCTTTACACACCTGAGTTTAAACAGCAGATTCTCTGCACCGCCCCCCAGAAAAAAAAAGTTTTAAAGGTTACCAGAATTTTACTCCTTCATTTTTAGAGGAAATTTAATAAGGAAACAAAAAGACTGAAGTCAGATGGAAGGCAGGTGAAATCCGTAGTCTTCCTTCTGTTCTTTCACTGGAATTTGGGTGTATTGTACATGAAGATTGTACATGTATTGTCCAGTCTGGCCATCTAGAAAGTTGCTTGATTCAGTTGCAGATACTCTGGTAGAGATGGGTGGAGATTTTCAAAGTGTGTTTAAATTTTCCCTTCGTTCACCTTGGCCATAGGGAAGTCAGTTGGTGTTCTTAAGCTTCCTAATGTAATTTGCTTCAACCACTATCTAGAAGTCAAGATGACTTCTCAGTCAAGTTCATTGCTTCTAAAGCACACAACAGGAAAGTAAGTGATTTCTACTCCAGAAGCTCATTGTAGCCCAAATGGCACTTGGCAACAGCCTCCTACTTTAACGTTAACGCAGAATTAAGCCTCAATTTTTCCTAAAGATTTTGTCTATAGTGAAGGTGAAAATTTTGAATCACTTAATTTTCATTTATACTTTTTTGGCAGAACTAGGGGTTGAACTCAAGGCCTTGTGCTTGCTAGGCAAGTGCTGTACCACCATTCCAATCCCTATACATTTCTGAATGAATAAATTTGATGTAAGCTAGTATAATTTAGTTTTCTGCTTCTCCTGCACCAGGGCATTGAAATGAAAGAAACTTGAGCACCCAAAGTGGGGAAGGGAGCAGACATGAAAGGAAGACACACTTCTTCAAGAAGGGGGCTGTTGGGTTTAAAATGTTTAAGCTGTGAGTGGAGAAATCCCATGATTTACCTTTTTTCTCCATAAGCTTACACATTGGGATTTCATTATTTTTAAATGTCCTATACACACACATTTCTGAGTCTAATGACCCACATTGCATACCAATGTGCCAAGCACTGTGTGTACAAGTGTTTTCTCATATAAATTAGTTAATCCCAGCAACTTTGTAAGGTAGGACTATGCACATGTTGACGAGTCACATGACTCCATTGAGGTGAAGCAGATAAGTGTGAAACTGACTCACATATTCTGTCCTGTTTGTTGAATAAATGAATAAAAGTTCCAGGGATCTTGGAGCCTATGGAATGATCTGACCCAAGGCCTGCCTAAGCTAATCAACTTTAAAAGAAAGAAGGTTTATTTGGGCTCACGCTTTTGAAGGTTCCAGTCGATAATTGGCCCGCTGTGTGGGGGCTGTAGGGAGGCAGTGCATCATGGCTTTAGCGTGTGGCAGAGTAAACCATCTCAGAGACTGGAGTCCCACAGTCCTCTTCACGGGCATATGCCCAATGACCAGAAGACTTCCCATTTCCCACTATGCTCACCTCTTAAAAGTTTTCACCACTTTCCACTATGCCACGGGCTGGAGACCAAGACTGTAGCACATGGGCCTTTGAAGGCTATTCCAGATCCAAACTATAGCAGCACTCTCTGACTCCAAAGCCAGAGATCTGGCAAACCATTCCATTGCCTTTACCTGCGGATTTGCAAGTGATAGCAGCGAAGGTGTGCTCCAAGCAATGTGTAATGCATGTGGCCATTGTCCAGATTATACAGCCCTTTCCAGGAAGGTACTAAACCTGGAAAGAGTATAATGCTTACACACAGTGCCAGATTTTGAGGGATTCTACATATTAGGATGTTCATTTGTGTGCTCAGGACAGGTGGAAGCTGTAAAGCAGACAGCCAGGGGAAAGGCCTTTGCTCTGTCACCCACAGCCAGGAGAGGAGGTCCAGTCCAGACCCCAGAATTACCCTCTACTACTCTTCATTCACCATGGCATTCCTAACAAATGCACATGGCTGGGTTGGACAGGATTAACTGGCAACAGAAAACATGGTGCCCATGGCCCTCAACCCACCAGTGCCCACAAAGAACTTAACTACTGATCTCAAAAACACTGGCAAAGTTGTGAGATAACATTGCTTAGTTAGACACAAATATGTCCCATTAGCTTTTCTTAATCAGTTTAGCTCAAATTGAGGCAGGATAGATGAAGAAACAGGTTAATTATATTATTTTGTAATAAATATTAAAAGGGGCAGACTCAGATATTGAAGCCAGGAAGTAAAGACTGAAAAACTGCCAGGCACCAGTGGCTGACACCTACAATCCTAGCTATTCAGGAGGCAGAGATCAGGAGGATGGCTGTTCAAAGTCAGCCTGAGCAAATAAATAGTTTGTAAGACCCTATCTTAAAAAAAAAAATCCATCACAAAGAAGGGTTGGAGGAGTGGTTCAAGTGGTCGAACACCTGTCTAGCAACTGTAAGGCCTTGAGTTCAATCCCCAGTGCTGTCAAAAACACAAAAACCCGAAAAACTAGGTGGAACTAGGGCAGTTCCACCTCCTTTTGATGTTAAATTACAAGAACAGGGAGACATAGATTGGCTGTCTGCATCTGTCTTCCCTATATGTTAAGAAGTTGCCAGGATCCTAGATGAGATGGAAAGATAGAATGAAAGCATGTCTGACAAAGGGAAAGTCCTAAAACCTATTGTTCCTGTGTTTTGGGTAGGCCTAGAAAACACCTCCCTTTTAGAATAATAAACAGCACCCATCTACCCAAAACCATTGTCTAATAAGTAGGGTCAGCAAGACAAGACCACAAGGCACACCCTACCCCCTAGATAGTATAAAGGCTACAGATAAGAACCACCATTTTAAGTCTTCACTCCTATTTCCTGCGGGGTGGGGGGGCAGGAAATGTTTCTCCCTTCCCTCCCCCCACTTCTCCCTATTTTATCCTGTCTTACTGAAATAAATCTTTGCTAAAACTTCCACCTTGTGAGACTCGTAGTTGTGAGATCTCAGAGTTCCTGGGAAGCTGAGGGCACTCCTTTCTCTAGTGACAAACTTAGTACTGAAACTTCCATAAAGTGAATTTTCCCCTGATGCCACCGTCCCCGTGGCGGGGGCGGGGGGGTTGGATTAGCTTGCGGTTCACTGCTAACCAACCCTCTGCTTTTTTCAAACTTGGAATATTATGAAGATCAGCTGCCTGTGTCTTTTTATTCTAAGCGCACCATACCTCCGGGCCAATCCTTCCAGTTCTGCCACTCTTTCTAAAAGCTGCATTATGATCCAAAACATGGCTGTCCTGATCATTGAACCGCTGGCCGTCCGTGTTTGAACAAGCTAATTTTTAACCCGGGTAACTTCAGGAGCTCCGACTCGCAACAAACAGCACTGAGCTGACAGGTTAGTTTGGCGAGGCGCTGGGAAGACAGGTCTAACGGAGGGAAAAGACTAATGGCAAACTGTCGCACACGCCCGAGGCGCTCCCCGCGATCGCAGGACTTCGACTGACTCTGCGAGGCTCCGGAGCCGGCGCGGCTGCGTGCACGGGCGGGGCTCCCTCCCAGCCCTGCGCGCCGCCTTCCACCTCCGACCGCCCGGGGGCGCGCCCGAGCCAGCAGCGTGCGCTTCCGCCGGCGCCCCGCCCACTCGGGCTCGCCCCGCGCCGCGATTGGCTGCACGGCGGGAGCGCGCCGAGTCAAGGGGCGGATCCGCGCCGGCTACAAAGCGGGGAAGGTCACGGCGCGAGCTGGCGCGCGCCGCCGTTCGTGTCCCGCCTGCGGCCCGCGCCCTCAGCCTGCTGCCACCGTCGCTCGTCCGCCAGCGCGTGCGGGAGTCATGGAGGGAGTGAGCGCGCTGCTGGCCAGCTGCCCCACGGCCGGCCTAGCCGGCGGCCTGGGGGTCACGGCGTGCGCCGCGGCCGGCGTGCTACTCTACCGGATCGCACGGAGGTAAGTGTGCGGCCCAGCCGCACGCGGCTCCGGCCGCCGCCCCGCCCCCGCGTCGGTCCTCGCGCCGCCCAGCCGGAGGCCTCCAGTGGGGACCCGCTCTACTTGCGGACGCGCGAGATCCGCTCTGCGGCCCCATCCCCACCCCAAAAAGACCGAGTTTGCAACCGAATTGGGAAGCAGCTATGGAACCTGGCTGGGGGCGGGAGATTCCAGAATGTGGGATGCGTGCGAGAGCAGCCAGCCTGGGGGCTGCCAACTTCCTCCTCGCTCCGAGGCCTGCGCCCCCTCACCCTGCGTGGAGGTGGAGGCCGCCGCCCCCCGGCGGTGCTGCCTTGGGCCCCTCTCCCTGGGCCTCCGCAGTACGTCGGATGGGGTGCACTTGCGGTTCTGCACGCGATGTGTCGGGATAATACATTCCTCACATAGACCCATTTCAAGGGCAGCCACTGCACCACCAACCCCAAGAAGCCAAGATACGGCGAGCTAAATAAATCGCTATTATTCAGGAGCGGCATGATAGAACTGCAGCAGCCTGAGTCTGGAGTGTGCACTCTTAACCACCGAGCTAGACGGGCTCCCAAGAGGTGGAGAAAGCTGAGCTATTTCAAGGCCTCTAAGATGGGCTCAATTCTCGCTCTGCTCTGCCAGGGCTCAGAGATCCTGCAGACCGCCATTCAGAGCTGGCCTTGCCCATCAGCCTTCATGGACAGGCACACCCCTTTTAGCAGGGTGTAAGGGATAACCAACTTTCCCCACCTGATAAACCTTCCCTGGAGACAGGGAGAAAGATAGGTTTATGAAGCTGAGATCTTAGGTAAAGAGAGCAAAGGCATTTGCCCAAGTGGTGGCTTTCTGCTGAGTGTGGCTTGAATCCGGCAGTTTCTTCCTTAACACTTCATTCTCTCAAGGAGGAGGCAGGTGAAAAGGAGTGAGGGTGGGTGAATCACCCAGGCCTCCCAGGGACGAAGGGTAGAAGAGATGTCAGCTGTATCTGTAGGAAGGTGCTGCTTTCTGGAGGGACTGAGAGAGTCCCTAACATAAGGAGTCTCTCACCCCAAGTCTCTACATTGTCCATTCGGTTCCTACCTAGGCTCTGGAAGCTAGCGAGGCCTGCAAGACCAGCTGGTTGAAACCAGTCCTGTTATACACAAGGGAGCTGAGGCAGTTAGCTCTGATGCCTAGAGGTTTGGGCAGCAGAGCTGGTCCAGAGCCCAACTTCCTCCTGGACATCCTCCTTAGCCAGCCCAGGATGGGTCCAAGAGCAGAACCTGCAACTGCTCACCTGTGTTCAGCATGGCTGTCTGCAGCCCAGACCTGTATGCACTGGTGTGTCTTGTGCTGCCACAATTCTCAGGTGTCCTGTCTCTACTTTCTACCCCTGCCAGCCACAGCTTTCCCTTTCCCAGAGACAGAGATCTGGGGCCTTGGTGAGGTTGCAGGGAAGCCAGGAGGTCCCCAGAAGTCTCTTCATGACCCTGGACACCACCAAAGTTGGGACTGGTGCTAGGCGGAGGACAGTCCTAGCCAGGACACGCTAAGATGTTCTCATGAGCACAGGGTCTCAGCTGAAGGTAAACTTGCCATTCTCATGATTGTGACGTAGGTAGGACCAGCCTGGCGAGAGGCTGCACCCTTCCCAGCCCCTTCGTGGGGAGAACATTGTGACAGGGAGGGATTATCAGCTCTGGCCACAGTGAGGGGTTTGAATGACTCTGGGGTGCATGTTGCAAGGGGACTTGTTTTTAGAAGGCAGTTGTGCAGGCTCAGCACACAGAGATAGCAGAGGGCAGGATGGTGACCTGGAGGAGAAGTGTAGAGAGAGTATCCTGTTGACACTTCTAGAGCAGCCCTACCTGGGTTTTAAGATTGGCCAGGGTGCCCAAGAAGAAGCAGTCAGTTCCCTGAAGTCCTCTAGAGCCCCCAGGCAAAGCTGACCCTGGTTTCCCCACCCTTCGAGTCCTCTTGCCAAGACTCATCTCCTGAGAACACATCCCTGTGCCCATTAAGGCCCTGCTTGGGTGGGCAGCGGGATTTGGTGTTTTATTGGGATTGTCTTTCTTGTGTTTGGGGACAAGGAGAATGCAGTCTCCCAACGTGGCAGAGCCTGTCCTCAAATTCAGAGTCCCTCTAGTAGGCCGTCCCGTGTCCAAACTCACCTCACCACTCACCGTCCTAAGCGGTTGTCTCTCCCTAGGTACACACACCTGCCTCTGCCATGCTGCTGAGTGTATTCATTCTTCGTGGCAGCAGCAAATGCCCTGTGTGTTGGCCGCTCTCTCTGTGTTTTGCCAGCTGCGCTGTGAGTTGTCGTTCTTGTCCTTGTATCCAAGTCTGAAGTAGAGTGTTTTGCTCAAAACATTTCATCTCTGCAAGCCTCTCATGGTGTTTGGTGAACCTTTGGGGTGACATACCTGCCCCAGGCCACCTCTGTCCCCAGAGGGTAGATTTTGGGATTTCTGCCTTAGTGTTGGCAGCATTGATGTGGACTTCTGTGTGTTTTTCTTTAAGACTGGGATGGGAGGTCTGGAGGTTTCTCTGGTCCTGCAGCTGTCCTTGAAGGAGGGGCTACTCCTCCTTGGACTCTTCTGGTAGGTGAAGCTTGGAAGGGCAGGGCAGAGCCACCCATGAAGCCAAGCTCTCTTAGGCCTCCACTGGGGCCTGGACACAGTACCCAAAAGGCCATAAGCAATGTGGCAGACCCCTCAGAGACACCACGTACTTCTCAGGGACTGATGGGCGTCTCAGCCTCTCACATACTTAGAGCTCTCCAAGACAGTGACCAAGCCCCATTTGGTGTCCTCTGTGTGGCACACACCCAGACTGGTAGGAATTCACAGTGGCAGCCGCACTCTCGAGCAGAGCCCCACCTGTGGAGAATGGCAGTATGTCTGTTGGTGGAGTGATGGCGTCACCAGAGCTTGTGGAGGTTTGTTCGGGGCTTGTGGAGGTGTGGATATGAGCTTGCAGCTACCCCTTGCCTTCTAAGGTGTCACCCACCATGGATGCTCCAGCTTCCTCTGGCATCTCAGCATCAAAGTCACAGGAGTAGGAAAGTGGCTTCTAGGTCCTCCCACCATCCCCTGGGCCCCCAGTCCTGGCAGCCTGGCCAGGGATGTGACCTCTCTGGGGCCATCTTCCTTACCTGTGTCACAGGGATGTTCTATTTCATCATCTCAACTTTGTCCACCAGGTATGGTTGTCCCAGAGCCAAATTGTAGGTGAAGGCTGGCCTGAGGATGAGAAGTGGGCTGAGGGCTATGAGAGAGGGGTATTACCCTGCCATGATAGAGGTGGGCCCTGAGGCCCTGGAAACATCATAGAAACTGTGAAGCTGGCCTGTTGATGTGGAGTGAGTGGTGTCTGATACTCTGGTATGTAAGGCCTTGGAGGTGACCATGCTGAACTGAAAGGACCTGAGATTCTAGCCAGTTAGTTGCCCAGTGCTTCCTTCCCTGTACCTTTTGGGACTGCCCCCACCCCCAAAAGGAGATGACTGCTGGCAAAGAGACCCCACCTGTGACAGAAATTATCTCCACCTTCCACTTCCAGGCCAGACTCCTAGAGGCCAGGAGCCATTTCCCTAGCAACAGAGCTAGAGAAATGCTGGCTTCCTGGGATAGGAGCGGCTTCCTGGCAGGCTCCTGTTCTTTAGCCACAGTCCATGCTCCCTGTCATTAGTCTTTTGGGGGCAGGTACAGGGCTGAGGCAGGTGGATGTAGGGCCTTGGGAGTGAGAGGGGAGGAGGCATGGACAGACAGATCACTCTGCCTGGTCATGAGGACGCACCCCCATGGCACAGTTACAAAGAGGACTATAAAGGAGATACAAATTAACAAATGCTTAATTACCCAGGAATGCCAAATGGATGCTCTGCAGCAGAGCAAATTTCCAAACCTGCAGCCACAGTTGGCCCCAGTGGCCTCCTGCATTGCTGCTGTCATCATTGACGGCCAATGAGGCCATCAGGTGCTGGGCACTGGCCACACAAGGCTCAGCACTTTCCTGCATTCTCTTACTGGGTTCTCCCAACAGCCTTTCTCGGGGCAGGGACTATCAGCCTCCCCATTTGACAAGTGAGGGAATGAAATGGCGGTTCCAAGAGGTGGGGTGACCCTCCCTGAGAACCATGCCCTGACAAGGGACCCCTCTGTTCAGTGTGCTATCTTCAAGGCCTTGCCTGCTGACCCTGAGCTGTTAACAAAATGTGGTGGTCCCTTGTCATTGTGAGGGCTTCAACCTGAGCTTAGGGAGGAGAAGTTGGTATGACCAAGGCTGCTGGGATATCCTGGCCACCTCTGTGGACCCTGGGGTCCTTCCTTCAGAGCCTGATTCCATTTCCTCTTCTCTGTCCTGGCTCCCATCCCCTTGTCACTATCATTTATTGACATTGACTAGGCCAGGCACCATCTAGTACTTCCCATGAACAGGCCCCTGTGAAGGAGGTGATAGGAGAGCTCCCTTCCTCTACTTGCCCACCCCTGACAAGCTCAGGCAGGAGTGGTGTCACAGAGCTGACCCTTTGCATTACAAAGCACTCTGTCTGTGTCTTTGATCCTTGTGCCATGCACACCAGTGGGTGCTATGGTGCTCCCACTTTACAGATGTGGGCACTGAGACTGGGCAACTGGAACTACCTGGGGCACATCCAGAACTTGGCCCCCTCCTTTTTGAGGATGAACGGCTAGAGGACAAGGCTGTCTGAGCAGCAGGACCATCTGTGTGGGGTGGCTGCCACTCTGTCCAGACCCAGACAGTATCCTCAGAGCTGGAGGGGGACTTTGAGGGAAGTCCAAGGGGAAGAGTATCAAGGACCTCAGGGCTCAGCAGCTGCTACCCTTCACCCCGTCCCATATTGTTTCTAGATTTCAGGAACTGGAGGGGTTTGTTGGGCAGTTGTTGTGGCCCCCCTTCCCCACTGTGCCCCACAAACCAACGGGGAAGATGGAGGGGGGTCCCAGAATACAGATCCCCTAGTGTCTAGGCCAGGATTATCCTTCAGCCTCCACCTGTCACCACATGTGTGGCCAGCAAGGCCCACTATGGGCCTGCCTGCCCTTGTCCCCTAATCAGGAAGGCTTGGTGCTGGCCAGCAGCTGTTACTAGTCCCCGCCCCTTGGCCTCCTTGGCTCTCACACTGGGGCTTTTTCTGGAAAGCACAGAGGCTCCCTTCACTCTGAAAACTCTCTGGGGAGCACCATTTCCGCAGCCTGGGAACAGGACCTGGGTAGGGGATCCTGACTTGTGTCCTTATCAGTCCCTTGTCTTGGTCAGCCCTGACCCTGCTCCCCCTTCCTTGTCTGAGCCCCAGGATATGGGTGGTGCTGGTGGCCCTGGGTCCCCATGTGAATTTATTGGAGCCTACAGAGCTAATGAGTCTCCAGCTGCCTTGTGGGAGGTGCTTTGTCAGCCAAGGACTTCTGGCTTGGTCTTCTTGGCTTGGTGGGTGCAGCAACAGCTGACCTGATTTCCTGCAACAGCTGACCTGATTTCCTCTCCTTGGGCTGATGCTTCCTCCTTCAGTGGGCCTGCACCTCCAACTTGGATCCACTTCCAGCACCTTTTCCTTAGTGGCTGGGGCAGGACTGTGGGTGGTCAAATATGCAGATGTTGAGGGCTGACAGAGTGGCTCACATGGTAGAGTGCTTGCGGCCCTGAGTTCAAACCCCAGCATTGCAAAAAAATCTGCAGACATTGAAGTCTTCCCAACTGACCCTGCTATCCTCCATTCACAGGGGGAAGCCAACACATACGATGGTCAACTGCTGGTTCTGCAACCAGGACACATTGGTGCCCTATGGGAACCGCAACTGCTGGGACTGTCCCCACTGTGAGCAGTACAACGGCTTCCAGGAGGTGTGTGCAGGCTGCAGGTCACAGGCAGGGCTGGTGCTCCTGAGCTGCCACCTTGAGGCTACCTACTCCCCTAGCCCATCCCAAGGATGGCTGACCCCACCCACATCCCCTCCTCCTCCGGCTCTGAGCAGGCCACTTACACACGTTATGTGGCTGAATTCTCACTGTTTGCCTAGCATCTCATCCTTGTTTTAGGAGGAGAAGCCAGGTTCAGGAAGCTGTGGCAACTTATCCAGTCTCCTCACTACACCTGGCACATTTGGGGTGCAAGCCCAGATCTGTGCAGCTATCCAGTGGGACTGATATTAAGCATGAGGCTTTACAGGTAGTGTAGTCTTTGTCACAACTACCCAACTGCCCAGCCACTGTGGACAAGGTGCAAATGAAGGAGTGTGACTGTTTTCCAATAAAACTTTATGAAATAGGCAATCCTCCCACTGGCCACAGTTTGCAGACTGAGTTCTGAGAGCCTCAGGGTTCTGAGGGAGAAAGCCAGGATGAGGTGAGTGGGCAGGAGACGGCTCCAGGCCCTGCCTAGCGGCGGGCTGAGTAACTTTACTCTTAGTACCTGGGCATTCAGGGTGTGTGTGGCAGCATCGGAAGAAAGGCTACTGCTCTTCCATGTAAAGAAAGCAAGGGTAGAGTGTCTGAGATCATGCACATCCAAGGGACCCCTGCCTGAGTCAGTCGTCAGAACCCGTGCCCCACATTGGGAAGGGGCTTCCCACCGACCAGTTCCCCTCTCCCCAGAACGGTGACTACAACAAGCCGATCCCTGCACAGTACATGGAGCACCTGAACCACGTGGTGAGCAGTGCGCCCAGTCCCCGTGACCCCACGCAGCCACAGCAGTGGGTGAGCAGCCAAGTACTACTGTGTCGGAAGTGCAGCCACCACCAGACTACCAAGATCAAGCAGCTAGCTGCCTTCTCACCCCGGGAGGAGGTGAGCGCATAGGCAGGAGGGTGGGTCCTGGCTATCCTGAATGCCTGAGGCCACCTTCCACTGACCCCAGCTTGTGTGGTTTCTTCCATCTCAACTGGAACCAAGCTTCTTGCTCTCTCTCTGCCTTGTGGCCACTGCTGTCTGGGTTCCAGTCTGGGAACACTGGAAACCCAGGGCCTGCAGGGCCAGAAGGGTTTACCCTGGGCCAAGAGCGGTAGTGCCTTGGGCTCCAGCTGGGGCCCTGTAGGGTTCATACTCTTCACTCTGAGAGTGGCTAGGGAAGCTCTTGGCTCTGGAAGAGAAAGAAGCTATTTGCTGAGCTGAGCTGGAAGTCTCCAGCCCCTTGGCACTCTGTGGGGTCCAGGAGCCTTGTTACCTGGCTCCTTTTCCTACCCATCTCAGTCTGGTGGGGTACTGTGATTCTAGCTGAGACCCAGAAGCACTGGCATTTCTGGCAGGGTCCAACCTGGGAGGGAGGGAGGGGAATGGGTGAGCCAGGCTAAGAGAGAAAGATGGGGAGGGTGATGTGGTTGGACACTGGGTGGCTTTGTTGCCACAATTGATCCCTACAAGAGATCAGACTGATAGCTGTCCCAGCCACTAGAGACTAAAGCATTGGCAGTACAGTGCTGCCTTTCTGAGGGAGCTAGGGATGGCAGTTGTCTTTGGCTCCTCCTCAGGCTCAGGCTCAGCCAGCAGGTCTAGTGTTGTATAGACCTTCAGGCTCCAGGGGAAGGTCAGTCCCTGGTCCTAGATGTTCCATCTGCCCAAGTCCATGCAGTATCAGCCAGGAGCTAAACCAGGGCTGGGCTGAAGCAGGCCTCCAGATGCATCCCTAGAGTAAGTGTCACCATCACTTATAGGACCTTGCCTTATGCTGGCCCTCACCCCCAGGACCTTTATCATCATTTGCAGTAGAGGGAGAAGAAGCCCAAGAGTGGGGGATCTTGCCTATGGCCACCCCCTTGAGTCAGGGCTGAATCTGAACCCAGGTTCCACTTACATGACAGGGAGCTCAAGTGCCCCAAGACATAGAGCCTCTGTCGCCCACCCACAGGGCAAGTACGATGAGGAGATCGAGGTATACCGCCACCACCTGGAGCAGATGTACAAGCTGTGCCGGCCATGCCAGGCGGCTGTTGAATACTACATCAAGCACCAGAACCGCCAGCTGCGTGCCCTGCTACTCAGCCATCAGTTCAGGCGCCGGGAGGCTGACCAGGCCCATGTGCAGGTCTGAAGCTGAATTCCATGGGGCATTCAGGGCATTGAGTCTGTATTGGAACCCTTCCCAAAGAGGTGGGCCCCAGTGACTAGAGGGCGGGTTGGGGGCTGTTCCTGAGGAGAGTCACATGGACTGATGTGTTGGTAGTTGGTGCATCTGAGAGAGGATTGAGGGTTGCCCTGCTGTCCCTGAGCACTTTCCCAGGGCCATTGCATCTGTTCTTCATGACAGCTTCATGGTGCACTAGACACTGTGACTCCTGTTTACAGCTATGGGAACCAAGCTCTGGAGGCCGAGAAACTTGCATGGGGCCATGCACATGGGGCCCAGCAGTGCCAGGGTTTGAATCCAAGAATATCTGACAAAACTGCTTGTTTTTAGCACAGTACTTAGTGGAATATTCTGGTTCTTTAAAAAAATAATAATAATAATCATTGGAGCTCTGAGTTTGAGCCCCAGCACCACAAAAAAAAAAGTTAAAAAACAACCTCACAAGGAAACTCCTCCCTGCCCTGCCCCCTCATGTCCTGAGGTCCACTTGGTGTGTGGTATCCATTCAGCAGCTAGGCTCCCACCACTCCACATAGCACCTCTTCCTCTGCTTAATTGTGGCTGTGCAGCAGGACACAGGTGGGCCTTAACCTCAGACCCCTGGTTCTCATTCTAACCTCCTGGTTCCTAGACTTTGTAACTTGCTGCTGTGTTTTTAACATTTGCCAAAGTTATCTGCACATCTATTGCAGTTGTAGTTAAACATATAATAGGAATTTTTGGTGAGAACTTGGCAAAGTTATTGAAGATTTTACTTGGAACAAACCAGGCACAGTAGTTCAAGTCTGTAATCCTAGCTACTTGGGAGGCTGAGAATGGTGAGGATCATGGTTTGAGGCCAATCCCATCTCAACAACAACAAAAAAAAGCAGCTGGGTGTGTGTCTGTCATTCCAGTGACAACAAGAAGCTTAAAATGGCCTGGACAAAAAGGGCCAGACATGTGGCTCAAGCAACAGAGCACCTGCCTAGCAAGCATGAAGAGTTCAAACCCTAGTATCCCCCCAAAAAAGAGGGAGTGTAGTGGAGCAGTGCCTGTCCCTGTACACACAGCTGTGACACCCCAGGAATGAGACAAGATGGTGGGGCACCCCACGCAGTGAGCAAAAGTGGCCATGGGTGGTTCTAGCACCTTGCTAACCCCTCTCTCTTCCTCCTTCAGAGCTTCTGCCCCTCTGCAGTGAAGGCCCCAGTCCAGGTCATCCTGCTCCGTGCCCTGGCCTTCCTGGCCTGTGCCTTCCTGCTGACCACTGCACTATATGGCCCCAGCGATCCCTTAACCCCAGGGGCCGCTCTGCCTCCAGCTCTGCCACCTGGTGGCAATGGTTCTGCTGCCCCAGACAACGGCACTGTCCCCAGTCCTGAGGGCTGGCAGCAGCTGCTGGGCCTGCTGCCCGAGCACACAGCAGAGAAGGTACTCATGGCCTGGGCCTTTGGACAGAGCCATCAGACGAGCATCGTGGCACTGGGCCTGCTCACCTGCCTACTGGCCATGCTGCTGGCCGGCCGCATCAGGTGCATGTGGGGCCCTGGGCACAGATGGGCAGGAGTCCGCACACTCCATTGCTGCCTGAGGGTGGGGGCTAAAAGAGGCCTTGCTGGTGCACAGCCCTGGGCTGAATCCTGCAACTGGACAATACTAGTCTCTGTTCTCCAGGGGCCAGGAGTCTGGTAGGTAGGACAGCAGGTCATTTGTCTTAGAGGGGGCACTGGCACTGAGTCAGCCTACTACTAAGTTGAGCCCAGTCAGCTCACACTCTGTAACAACTGAGTGATAGAAACCACCTGACCCCTGGGCTGTGGAGGCTCAAGGGAGGGCTTTGCTTCCTTCTCCCAGCAGTAACAGGCCCTGTAAGAGAGCCATGTCCATGTTCCATACCTCACAGTGACCAAGGGAGATGTCCTTAGCCCGTTTCACAGGCTAGGACACAGGCTTAGGGGAAATACTGACTTGTTCAGAGCCCCGCCTTCTGAGCAGAACAGGGTGTGGATAGATGGGATAGGAAGTAGCAGGGCTGGGGGGTGGGGAGGGACGGTCCTGTCCTGCCCCAGGCATTTACCACCTGCCCCTGCTTTCTCCGGCAGGCTCAGAAGGATTGATGCTTTCGCCACCTGTCTCTGGGCCCTGCTGCTGGGGCTGCACCTGGCTGAGCAATATCTGCAGGCTGCCTCGCCCCGCTGGCTGGACACACTCAAGTTCAGCACCACATCCCTGTGCTGCCTGGTGGGCTTCACCGCAGCTGTGGCCACAAAGAAGGCGACGGGCCCACGGAGGTTTCAGCCCCGAAGGTCAGAGAAACAGCAGTGACTGCGGGGGGAGGACAGACTGACGGACAGGCCCAGGGCTTGGCCCCCCACCTGAAGCAGGCTCCTCTCAGTCTTGTCTTTTCTTACCTGCCTCATTCCTACCTTCTAGAGTGCCAGGTCCCAGCCCAGCCACTCCACCACCCCCCTTTTCCTTCCCAGCACCATCAAACCACCCTCCAACCTGAGGCAGTCCCCAAGTGTCCTGTAGCTGCTCACCACTCTCACCACTCTCTCTGGCCTAAGACCCTTTCACAGCCCTGATGCACCTGCAGCCTGCCTCTGACCTGTGGCTTCCCTCTGGCTTGCCACAGCTCTTTGCTGGCTCTGACTCCATGGGGTAAGGGGTGTGGGGCTAAGCCCTGTAACGGGGCAGTGATAGTGATGCCTGCTGAGTCCTTGTCACATGGCCTGACACTCTTAACTGCTTGGCAAGGCAGGTGCCACTCAAGAGGGTAAGCGAGGACCAGAGCATAGCCACCACCTTGTCTGCCCCCCGCCCCCAGGATCTCTTGCCTGGTCTGTCCCTGTGGTCCTGCTGTAGCTGGCCTGCCTCCCTGGGTCTGCTACCCAGTTCCATGCTCCATGACCTTGCCAAAACTGTGTGATCCCTCTGCCTCCTTCCCCAGGAATGAAGAGCACAGCTCTTGGGCCCTACCTGGCTTTGACCATGGTTTGTGAACTGAGCCCCTCTCAGGTGAACTGTAGAAAGTTTGGCTGCTCCTTACATTTGGCAAGCTCCCTCTGGATAGTGAGGCTTTTGGGGTTTCCCTGTTACTCACCCGTTAGCAACTGGGCATTCCTGCAGACCAGATAGACTTGCAGGTACCCTGCCCACCCTCTGCCCTGGCAGCTAGGCTCTTCCCAGCCCCCCCCCCACCCCTGGGGTGCTAGGGTTTGGGCTCGCTGGGCCCTGGCTAGCAAGGGCAGGGCTTGAGCACTGTAATAGGCCCTGTTCTCCCTGTGTTCCTAGGCTTCTCCACTTGCCCCTATGTGGTGCCCAAGTTCTGCTCAGGTAAGGGGCCCAAGGGATACACAGGCTCTCACTAGGTCATTGTCACCAACATACTTGTAGCAACCTATGGAGTATGTTGAGGTTCCTGCCGTCTTTCCCCAGGGACAGCCACAGGGCCCACATGGCCTCACCCTCCCTTCTGAGATAAGGCTGCCTGGGGATGTCACCCCTAAAAGTTACCACCCCAGAGGAAGGGCCACCAACTGCTCTTCCCAGCTATATGGTCCTGGCCAGTCTTGGTTAACCATGTGAAGTGAGAGGTGAATCCTCTCCGGGAAGCTTGGGTGCTGGCCTCAGTGGGCACAAGGATCATATGAGGTGGTACAGTAGACATACTCTGGAGGCAGGACTGTCTACATGTAGAGGAAAGTGTCACCTGAGAGCTGGGTTGTGGGGCCCAGCAGGAATGTGGTCTGAGGCTGGCCCACGGTGGTGGTTCCTGAGAAAGCACCCCCTGGGGCATGTCCCACTTGTCCCTCACCATCAATCCCAGGCTGTGCCGGCTCCTCATCCTCTCATCAGCCCAGGGAGGGCAAAGGCAGGTTACACACATGTGAGGGTCACATCCAACAAAGGGGTCACCAAATGCCTGGATCTGAAGGGGCAGAGAGGCAGGTGGGAGGTGGCTGGTCAGCTCCTGCAGGAAGCCCCACAAGCAGTTTGAGAGTGCCAGCTTGGCCCCACCATTGTGAGCCTGTTATGTTTGAGGGTCCTTAGGGCCACTCCACAGATGAGATGAAGAGTCCCTCTGAAGAGGTGTGGACAAGGCCATGCAGAATAGAGCTGGCGAGCCATAGCTGCCCCTGGTGGCCCAGCTGCCTGTCCCTTCACCCTGCAGCAGGTGCTGGCTCTGCTGGCCATGCGTGCTCTTGCGTGTATCACTATCTGTTCTCAAGGAGGCTAACAGTGCGATGCTAATTGCTGCGTTTTGGCATTGGGTAGGAGCAGGACATCTGTGTGTGTGTTTGTGTGTTTAAATTAAATTATTTATGATAAGCAGAGCCAATTCTGGCTGACTAGGATCCCCTGCTAGTAGATGTCTCTCCTGCCCTCTGGTAGTATGGAAAGACATATCAAAGTAAGGTTTCCTGGCCTTCGTAGGTTTCCTGGCCTTTTGTGTGATTTTTTTTTTTTTTTTTAATTAACCATCTGTCCCTTAACGTTTCCTTACTTTGAGGACATACAGGCACCCCCGGATTGTGGCTTGTTGACTGGGAGTGACCATCAGACCATCCAGGTCAGGGTGGGATCATCCCAGGTACAGAATGGCCATTCCCGAGATAGAAGGGAGGGAGACTCAGCCGTATTCACCCTCCAGGTCTGGAGTCCCAACCCTTGGGGGACAGGTGCCCCAGAAACATTATCCCTGAAGCAAACTGGCAGGACTACCCTTTGACATCCCCGGCCAGCCTGCCACCCTGCCCAGATAGGGGCCTACATCCTCTGTCTGCAACCGGTCTCTTCTATCTCATTGTATAGTAGAATTGTGGATAATTGTCTCGTGACCCCCTAATCACTGTAACCACACTCTGGCCGTAGACATCATGTTTTGAATGCTATGTTTTCAATAAATGCTTCCTGGGCCCTGCTCTTTCCAGGTGGCGTCAGGTACCATGTCTTTTTTCTTTTTTCTTTCACATTTCTTCAAAAGGGCTTCTGTGCCAGGGCTGGGCAGGGTTGGGGGTGTTGGCATGTGTGCAGGAGTCTGGGCGGGGAATAGGTGTGGGAACTGGTGATGATGACACCAAATGGCTCAAGGGCCCCAGCGCCTCTCTTGTTCTGCTGCATTGTGTTTTTCCCATCTCAGTACACCGCTGCTTAAAACAGCAGCACTGTTGATGGGGCTGGGTAATCCACCACTCGACCACTCGGTTCCCCTTCGCATAAGGTGAACCACTGCCCCTGCCCTCGGCCCTCCCCATAGCCAATGCCTGAGGGTTACCTGGGGTCACACAGACTTGGACCCTGGGCCTATCACCAAAGAAGCCTGGGTACCTTTGCAGGTCCAGGAGCCTGGCAAGACCAGGGTTCCTATAACAGGAGATTCCTTTGAGGACACCCCCACCATAGCACACCCTGAGCCCTACACAGCTCACACCTAGGGCTTTACATATTACAGCAAGAGAAGGCCAACCTCCAAAGACCTGTCTCACCTACCAGCATTTTCAGTAGCACCAGCATTGGGAACAGCCCCCATGCTGGATGGGTAGGATTCTTTACCTTGACTGTAGGGTTTCCCCAGGTGTCAGCAGAAGCTGGGAAAAGTGATATGCTGGCAAGACCCTGCTGTGCCTTCTGGTGCTGACCCTGAGGAGCCAGGAGTCTCTGGTCCCAGCTGGCTTCCTCCAAAACCTGCAGCCACACCGGGGCCTTCAACTCTCACTGTGCTCCCTAACCATGCCCACTGGCCCTTGGGGACTGCCTGCTTCAGGGTTGCCCTTGGTTCCTGGCCATGACAGGACGCCAGCTCAGATTCCTGCTGCCACTTGATGGAGGGGCCTGAGCGTGCACCTGCTCTAAGGCTCACACTCCCTGCTGCCAGGCTGTGCAGTATGGACTCCCTGTTAGGGTCTGCACCTACTCTTCTCCCATGGAGGCTCATACATGATCAAGCAAGTGATCCACAGGCTCCAGCCACAGTGCCTGAGAGTGTCCTTCCCTCTGAGCCATTCCACAGGTCCTGCCAAAGTGTACTACAATCCTAAAGTGAGAACACAACTTTCTTTTTCCGTTGTTTTTTATTGTTTGTTTTGTTTTGGGTGCTGGGGGTGGAACCAGCACATGCTCAGAGCTTCACAATGCCCCACAGTACTCTGCCACAAAATCTTTTCCATTTAGAGGCAGAACCTCCCCACAGTCTTAAGGCAGGGGTGGGGGACATCAGATAGGCCCAAAGGATGGGTCAGCAGGTGGAGCAAGGATGCATCCAGACTGGGGCTCAGTTGACTGCCCCTCCACTCCCCCGCCAGCAGATTTGCTCTGCCTTGACTTCCCATGTTCCCCAAACACTGAACCCTACCTTTGGTTCTGAAGTCCTTTGTGAGAGATCAGAAAGATCACATGGTATTCTCTGGGAAGTCAACAGCTGGCTGCATGCTTTCCTTATAAGTCTGTGAAGATTGGCTGGGGAGAGCAGTGGAGTGTAGCTGGGCTAGTGATCCCCGAGCACTCCGCCTTGGCAACACGTGTACCTTAGCCAGTCCCTGCTCACCATGGGCTCTGAGCCTGCCTGCCCATTCATCCGCACATTGTCTGCTGGGCTCATTTGTCCCTCGGGACTGAGGTAAGGCTAGATGCCCTAAGCTCCATTCAGATGGCAGACTAATGTATTAACTGCCTCTGTCCCTGTCCCCCTCTGTAATCGGGTGCCTTAATCAGAAGCATGGTTGACATTCTGGCCTGGGGCCAACAGGTCCTGTTGTGTGATTTGTATATTCTCTACTTTAAAGAGACACTGTCACCTTTTTCTTTCGGACAGCCTTGTCAGGGATCCAAGGCCTGGCTGCCTCCCGCTCTGCACTGTAAGGGGCTTTAGATGAGTGTCCAGTATCCAGGGCCAGAGAATGGGAGGCAGCTTCCTAAGGCAGAATGTTACGGGATTCCCAGAGCCATGCAGGGGACTCTGACCTCAATCGCTCTATTAAGAGGTTCTGGACACATCAGGAAGTAGCCAGAAGCCCAAGTTCACAAACCTTGAGTGCCCAGCATGGGGCTGGACGTGTTGTTTCAGGGTGACGGAATAGCCAGTGGTCAAGGTGGTGAGGGTGACAGTGTCACTTTAATGCCGAGATGCATAGTGGAGGTAGTTTGCTGTGAGCCTGAGGGATGGAGGGGCATGCAGGGAAGGGTGGGCCATGCCGGCACCTCCCAGCCACCTGCTCCTAATGGCGTGAATGGACAACTGCTTTTCTGCTTCAACTAACGCACGCCTCCTCTGGGACCCCAACTCAGGCCCACTTTACACCCTGGGAGGGGATGGGCCCTGTTGTGCGGAGGCTGCTTCCAGAACCTTTCTGGGCTCACCATCTTCCTCTCTCTGCCTGATGGGCCCCTACAGGTACTTCCCAGGAGAGTCTGCTGGCCTGTTCCCCTCCAGCCCCAGCTTGGCCATGTCTCACCCAAGTGTCACAGCCTCCTCACCATCCCTGTTCATCCCCACCCCACCCGGCTTCCTGCCACTCGCCAACCAGCAGCTGTTCCGGTCTCCCCGTCGGGTTTCGCCCTCCTCACTGCCAGGCCGCCTCAGCCGGGCCCTCTCACTGGGAACCATACCCTCTTTGACCCGAGCAGGTAAGAGCCGCCTATGCGGGCCTCGGTGGGCAGTAGTCTGGAGCAGCTGGAACTAGCTCTGGTGAGGGCAAAGGATGGTCCTGCAGAGTGGCAAGAGCTCTTGCTGGAGAGATGGGCTCGCTGGGCTCAGACCCAGCTGAACCCAGTCAGTAGCTGCCTTGACCACTCTCAGCCTCTGTCTTCCCTCCAAAAATGGGGCTAGTACAAGAGGGCCCCCTCACAGGGGGTCGTGAGGGTGCAGTGGGGTAACGCGTTTAAAGTGCTTAGAAAGGCAACAGGTACACCAGATCCTCGGTAAAAGTAAGTGCTTTCTGGAGTTGGCTGTTTACCACCACCTTCTGTTCTTCCTACTGCTGTTCTGAGTGAGGCCCTGGGGACTACAAAATGTGACCCAAAGGGCAGGGATTTTGTTCCCTGAAGAGACCTAGCCCTGTCCCTGTGTTGAGGGACTCTGTCTGTCCCCACATCCTTCTCAGCAGGATCTCATAGGAAGTTGATTGTGAGTTAAAAACCAGTTTTAAATGTCCTGCACCAAGAGTGTCTGTGACGATCCTCACACACTGGGTTTGCTTACTCCCAGTGGAACCCTGGGGGCTAACTGGCCCTCTGGGTGCCAGGGCAGCTTTGAGGCAAAACGTGACTGCATTTTGGCCAGTCCAGTTCCTATGTAGGTGCTGGGCTAGACAGTTGGACTCAGGCTCACAGCTCAACTGCTTCTCACCCTGTTACGTGCAGTTAAGCATCCTCCAAGACAAAAGAGGGTGCCAGAGGGACAGGACTCTGGAGACAACATTTAAGCTAAATGGGCAACTTAGTTCCAGGCCTTCAGGGGGCATAAAAATGGGACTGCCCTTAGTACAGAGGCCTGGACTGCAGATACTCCCAGGTAACTGAACATGAGCCCGGTGGCTGGAAGAGGGTGCTACTCCCTTTCCCCTGCCAGGAATTGTTGTGCACAGCATTCCTGAGCCCCTACCAAGTGTCAGGCTCAGGACAAGGCTTGGGGGTGCAGTGGCAGACAAGTCACAGCTGAGGGTGCTGATGAGTCCTCCATGGGTGCTCTGTGGGCAGCATCTGGAGTGAGGGGTCCTGGAATATCCCAGGCAGGGGAACCTGGACCTGCAACAGGAGCGTTTCCTGGTACTCTTGTCAGGAGCTGGGACCTGGTGGAGTCCTGGGTGGGGGTGGACCTGCAGTCAGGGGAGGGCCTTGAGCTCCCAGGCCTCTGTAGGACCACCTCTGGGACAGACTCTGCTAGGTACTAGCTATCTTAGGAAGAGAGAAGTCCAGGTTGCAGGGAGGAGGACCACCTCGTGTAGTTCTTCAAAAAGTAGAGATCAGGGCGTGGTGGTACATGCTTATAATCCCAGCATTTGGGGGATGGAAGCAGGAGGCTCCTGAATTTGAGGCCGCCCTGGACTATATAGTGAGTTCAAGGCCAGCCTGGGTTATATAGGGAGACCCTATCAAAAAAATATACATAAAACAGTATAGGCTAGGATAAAATAAAAGCTGAGGTTAGGTATATGCTAGATGCACATCCACAAGGCTCTGGGTTCAATTCTCAGCACCAAAAATTAAAATAAAAATTAATCCCACAGGTGAAAAGTCCCTCACAGGTCAAGGACTTGACCTGTGAGGCGAGCAATTCCTGCCCTCATGGCCCCAAGTTCCATTCACCACTACTACTCCCTCTGGAAAAGACCCCATTCACCCAGCTTTCAGTGGTCTTTTGACCCTTCTGTGGTCTGAGGGAGGTAAAATGGGGACATGAAGTGTGGGCAGGATCCCATCGAGAGCAAGCCTTGGCTCACCGGGACTCAGAGAGGCTCCCTGAGCCCTAATGTAAAGTAGGGAAGGGTTGGGGTTGGGGGTACTCAGCTCAAGTGCGTGAGGCCCTGGGTTCTATCCCCAGCACCTCAAGAAAAGAATAATAAAATAAAATAAAATACAGTGGCTGTACCTGTGGGGCTGGGATGGGATGAAGTGAGAGACCAGTCGACCAAGCTCAGGCCTTTCAGCAGATACAACTGTTGTGGGGCTGGGGTTTCCTGATGACAGTGAAGGTCTTGCCCTCCACTGCAGCTAAGAGTTCAGGCCATGTATCCTCCAAGGCTGGTAGGGAGGTGTGCTCTTCTTCTAAGCAGAATATCCCTCTCTGTCTCCTGGGGCCCCAGGCTGGCCGCTCTCACAGCTCTCAAGTGGGACTTGGGGTCCAGAGGACAGACTATGTGAGGGTTCCAGACGCTGCCCTGGGCCAGAGCACACAGAGAGTAACAGAGCTGACATCTCAGGTCCCTTGGGAGGGGAGGCCTTTGCAGTAGGGCCTTCGTCCCTGAGGACAGGCGACCTCCCTGTCAGAGCCTGAGGCAGGGGCTCAGAGCAACTGTCCTGAGGTGGCACGGAGTACTGTGGGCCCAAGTTCTGATCTCTGAAAGTCTGGGACAGGCGGGATCCCAGAGTCTCCAAACAGAGTGGATTTGGGAAGAAGTTCTCACAGGTGTTTAGCTCACATACCTGGGAGACCAGGTCCAGGACTCAGGCGTCATGGTCAGGGCTAAGAATGCCTCTCAGCTCCGCAGTAAAGGCCTCATCCCTGCATCCTGCTACTCATGCCCAGCTGAGACCCCCCTCAGCGTCCATAGACCTGTTTCTGAGGGGGCTCTGGCTGTCATGCTTAGGTTGTGTGATCACTCTTACCTAGGCCTGGGGGGCAGTTGGTGCACTGTGACCCCACCCCTGCAGAGTCCTGCAGCAGCCTCCACCAGATCTTTCCACATTCAGCTCTCAGCTGGGCATGAGCCTATCCTCAGGGTACATTTGATTTAGGAAGAGTCACTGGTCCCCCTTGGGTCCAGTGGTCTGGGACTGGGAGGAGACGGTGGGATTCCAGGTGACTGAAAGGGTGTGGAACATCACAGAATGAAGAGTTGAAAACTGCTGACCCCTGTGACCCAGGGGGTTTGGTTCCTTTTATCTGCAGTATAGGAATATGCCTTGGATGGCAGCTGGTATCCATCAAGGGCCTGTTTCATGAAAGCACAGAGGTTGGATTCCAGCAGAACATCCGGGGCTATGGGACGAGGAGGAAGAGGAGAGGGGTGACAGTTTGTGGTCCTCAGACTTGATTGATGCATGCTGCATTTCTTTTTCTGCCAGACTCGGGGTACCTGTTCAGTGGGAGCCGCCCACCATCCCGGGTGTCTCGACCCAAGGAGGTTCCTCTTTCAGGTAAGGAAGATAAGAGCCGGGAGGGAGGGACCAGAAAGCTGCTTGAAGTGGGGGAGGCTCAGAGTTTCCAGAGCAGAGTGCTTAAGCATTAATTTCCAGGCCAGGCAGATCCGTGTTCAAACCAACCCCAGCCCTGGCAAGAGACAAACACCTGTGCCTCAGTTTCTTCTGGTGTGAAGTGAGGTCGGGGATTATTAGGGTCAAGTGCCATCATGTCTTCCACTGATGGAAATGTGCACCAGCTCCAGCCTCAGCAGGGCCCAAGTTTGTTCCAGGCCAGGCCTTGCTCTTAGCCAGGGAGGTAGGTGAATGGTTCATGACTGAGGCTCCGCCTCCTCACTGCCTGGTGGAGTGCAGCCCCTCCTGGCTCAGGTTCCAGCAGACTTCCCCCGTCCCCAGTCTACACCTTTCCTTTTTTTCTGACAAGGGAAGAAAAGCACCAAGACCAAAATGGTAGATGGCAAGTATCACTGTGACAGCAGCACATACCCATGGGTTACCGTCATCTCTGGTTCTGTCATCCTCCCTCCCTGCAGATTACTTCTCTCTGCTGTCGGGGAGCCTCCCCTCCTCCCCTCTCCCCTCCCCGGCACCCTCTGTGGCCAGCTCAGTGGCCTCCAGCTCCGGCTCCCTGCGCCACCGCAGGCCTCTCATCAGTCCTGCCCGGCTCAACCTGAAGGGGCAGAAGCTGCTGCTGTTCTCATCGTCCCCCGGGGAGGCCCCCAACATACCTAGCAGCTCCGAAGAGCACTCACCACTCAATGGCAGCCTCTTCACCATTGAGCCTCCCCAGCTCCCCCAGAGGCAGCCCATGCAGGATACAAAGCACACCATGGGTACGTGCGGGACAAAGCTCGTTGTGGATCCACCTTGGGAGGACCCTGCACCTGGGAGGGCTGTGGGAGCACCTCTGTGGTGTGCGGTGGGGGCCATCCTTAGTCACTCTCTCAGGCTGTAGACTCCCAGTGTGGATCTGGTGATCTTAAGTACTCTAGGACGCACTGTCCTCTACTGGCTGGTTTTGTTCCTTTCGCAATTCTCTGGGATCCATCGAGAACACGTCGCACACTGCTAGACCGTGTCTGATCTCATATGTCTTTGTTTTGCTTACGCAGTCTTTGTGCTGTGAAGCTTTTTTAAAAAACTTAATTGAAGTCCTTTAAAATCTAGAACTTTTGCTGGGTATGGTGGTACATTTTGTAATCCCAGCACTAGGAAGGCTGAGGTAGGAGGATCAATAAGTTTGAGGCCAGCCTGGGGCTGCATAGTGAATTTCTGCCTGAAAACAAACAAATCTAGAACTTTCACATGAATGTGTGGATTTCTTGTGTCTAACAATGTTGGAAGATCTGGCTATGGAATGCTGCATGGTGAACAGGCAGAGGACAGGGCAGTCGAGGTCCCATGTCCCCAGGGCTGCCCTCTAGAAATCCCACTGTGGGCATCTGCTGGTGCCTTGTTGACATTTGTTTGCCATTCCTGATCTAAAACCAGCTATTCCCCAGCAGCTGTACAGTCAGCATCTGCAAACAGGACCTGGCCTCCTACTGCCCAGGGGAGGTGAGCAGGTCGGGACATGCCGGCTCACCACTTCCAAGTACCGTGTCCTAGGAGTGAAGTAGAGAGGCAGGCATCTGCCCCTTGGTGAGCTGTGCACATTCCTGAGACACACACCCTTCTCTCTACAGACATGAGGTCAGTACTGGCCAGAGGCAGTGCCTACAGCAACCACTCCATCAAAAAAGAGGACGATTCGTCCCAGTCATCCACCTGTATAGTGGACACCACCACCAAAGGGTGCTCAGAGGAGGCCACCGCCTGGAAAGGTCTGTGCCTCTCAAGTAGGAAGAAGCGGGAGGGACCAGACCCAAAGCCATTGTCACACCCTGGTGGGTGCAGAGCTCTGGCCTAGAGCCACAGCGTCTAGGATGGAGAAAGAACCTTCAAGGGCACCTCAGGTCCTTAAGCAACTGATGATAACCCTCCCAGTGCCTTCTGGGTTCCAGTCTGGACTCTGCAGAGGACAGCCCTCTCCTCCCTCCAGGGCTAGGGTCCAGACTTGCACCATCTATCACAAGAGTCTCTGGCCATGGGCAGCTGTTTGAATTTAACTGAGTTAAAATTAAATAAATTTAAGAATTCATCTCAGCTGCACTAACCACACTTCAAGTGCTTAGTAGAGTCACATATAGCCCAAGGCACTGTGCTGGACAGAGTAGATGTAGACTTCCAGTGCCAGGCTTGCCTGGGGAGCCTGGGCACACCCAGGCAGTGGGCCAGGGGTGGGAGGTCCTACTTGGGCTTTGTCCTGCACCAGGGTGCCAAGCTTCCAGTGTTCAATGCCAGTTTCCCTGATCCCATCACTGACTGGGCAGGGCGTGGGATCAAGAACTGGTTAACACCAGTTACTTCCCCGGGTAGGAAGGCAGGACACAGGTGTTGACAAAGATGGCAGCTAGCAAGTAGGGTTTTTCTGGGAAGATGGTCTTGAAGTGACTCAGAGCGGGCACTGTGCCTGAATCAAAGAGAGCTCAGGTGAGGCCTGGTGACCTTAAGGCCATGGCAGGAAATAGATGTGGGACCTGAGTCACCACTTTTTATCTCCAAGACTTGGGCAGGGTAGTCTTCCTCCTGAGCTCCCATTTCCTCATCTGTAACACAGGTATGGGTCACCCCTCACTGCCCAGGTAGCAGCCCCAAAGCAGCCTTGCCCAGGGGTTTCAGGGTCTACCTGGTAGCTGAGGCTGGGGTGGGGGCTTGTTCCACCTCGTGACTCATGGCTTCCTGGGCCCTTCATGCCCACAGGCCTTTGGTGGAGGAAGAATGTTGTAGGTGAGGCCAGCACAGGAAATCGCCCTGGGGTGGAGCCAGAGCCTCTAACTGCGTACTCTTTAAGGTCATGGTGCTGGCCACACAGTCACATACATACGCCCGTGCCCCTTCTGACCGGGTTGTTCTGCTCCTGCAGGGCATTTCAGCCCCTCCCTGGTCCGGGGCCTCCTGGCTGTGAGCTTGGCTGCCAATGCTCTCTTCACCTCGGCCTACCTGTACCAGAGCCTGCGCTGACCCCCAGAGTGTCCAGAGGGCCAGGTGCGCACTGCTTCCACCACTGCCGCCCAGAACCTCCCAGAGAGGCTGTGCCTCCACCCTGACTCCAGGGCCCTTCACCTCATGGATTGCAAGTTCCTGTCCTCAGGAGGTCTGCTCTCCTCATCTGACAGACTGCAGGGCCGAGTGTGTCCAAGGTCATGCTCTTTGCCCACCACCTCCTTGGCTGATATTGAATGTGTTTGGTGCTGACACTCTGACCCCGAAGCCAGGGATCCCTAACAGGCTGCCTGACCCTGGGGTCCCCTCCCCCTCATCCAGCAGGGACAGCAGTACTACTGTAACTACAGCAGGAGCCAGCCAGGCTGCCTCTGACCCACTCCTGCCAGCCAAGTCCTCATCTTCCTACAGTACTCTCCTGGGGAGGGCCACCTTGGAGCCCCACAGGATGAAGAAGACCCCTGGGGCAGAAGAGGGATGAGCCCTGGGTCACTGTGTCCTTGCTCTGCCCCCACTAGAGAGAGCCTCCCTTGGACAAGTCCCCTTAAGGATAGGCATTGCCTGCCTGCCTTGCCCCTTCCTGTTGGCCCCGGACAGGTGAGCAGAGGGGGCTGCCTATAGCTCTCGGCCCCAGGACCAGTGTTAGGTGCCACCCCACTCCTCTCACACTTTGTTCTCCTGCCTTCTGCACCCCTATTCTGGTAACCGTCCTAGGAAGCAGCCCATTCCCCTGAGATCACCAAGGACCCCGGCCCTGTTTGTCCAGGACCCTCCCTCACGAGCTGCCCACAGGGTCCTTGCCTAATCCCTCAGCTCCACAGGAGCTGTACATCTCAGACCAGATGGACCCCTCCCTACCCTCACTGGGTCCCTGGAACACCACTGTTCTCCCCTTCCTGTCCCCACCTGGGTTCCATGTGACCTCTCTCCCAGGCCACCTTGGCCAGCCTTTCTTACCCACTCTTTTTGGTCCCCACCACTGCCTGCCTGACCCATACTGCCCTTGTGCTGGGCAGCCTGGCACTGCCCTCAGATGCTGTGGAACGTGGGACCACATGTGCCTGTGGGTGCCAGAACCCCATTCCTACCGCCCTGCCTGTGTGTCTGTCTGTGTCGATACATCTTGTGCCACTTGGGGGGAGGGACATGGGGCAGGAGGAGGGTCCTCGCTCGATTTTTCAGGGATAAAGTTTCATTTTATTTTTCTACACCTTTGCCAGGTGAGGTATGTGCTGAGCAGCTGGATGCCTCCCGTCTCCTTTCCAGGGAGTTGTTTTCTTAAGCTTTGGGTGCTTTTTTAGTTATTTTTTTTTAACGTGCAGGGAAGGAGACCACTCTGACCTCACCTCCCTCTGCCCTGCTCCTGAACTGGGAGTACCTGATGCTGTGTCCCAGGCTGTCCACTGCCCCCAGAAGCAGGAGTCCCACTGTCAGAGGGGCTTCCAACTTGGAGGTGGCACCTCCTGGTCCCTATGTGTACAGTGGGTATGTCAAGTTTTTTTATTTTATTTCTGGCCTAACAAAACCAAACTCCCCAGCGTCCTTGTTTCTGACTCTGAGGAAGTACCCACACAGGCATGCCAGCCCAGCCAGGCCAGCCTGGTCTCCCAGAACCAGTGGTCCTGGCACCCTGTGGCTAGGGGAGCGGCTTTTACTTAGGTTTTGTTTCTCACAGAAAATACATTATTTTTCTTTACAAAAGCAAAAAATAAAACCAAAAAATATACCAACCTTTGAATTGTGCCTTACTGTGTCATTTTTTTTTTTTTCTTGTTTGCTTAGACAGCTCCATGGGAGAAAGGCTCAGCCAGGGCCGGACTGGGACAACCCCAGCTAAAGTAGAAATTCTCTCCCTCCCTCCCTGCCTTCCTCAAAACAAAACTGTAGTGAGTCCTTCCTGCAGCTCCTAGTGTTGGGGAGGTGGGTGCCGGGTGACAAAACAGTGGCCCCAGGAGGAGACCTGGAGCCTGGGCCAGGCCTCACATGAAAAGCACTCAGCTGCTGTCTTCAGAAAAGCCTGGCTTCGGTTGCAGGGCCAAGGATCAGCATGTGATGTGCCTGGTCTCCCCCAAGCCCACTCAGAATGGCTCTGTGACCCTCCTACTCAGGACCTGCAGATACAAAGCCAGTCACCCCAGCCAGGTGGACCCCAGTCCTACGTGGGACGGGATGCTGACTTCTGAGCCCAGCACCTTGCCTGGAAGAGGCCAGAGGGCTCAGCATGGAGGGAGGGGCCACAGCAGCAGTCTGGGACCACAAGCACAGGCTCAGGTTTGTGCTGTCCGAGGTTCTGTCAGCTTCATTTAAGTGACGTGGTAAGTGGCCACCCAGGCCTGCTGTGAGAATAATTAACCCTGGGCACCATGCCTGGGATGCCCAACTCCCTGGGCCCATGGGGGATGGACAGAACTAAATCAGACTGGGGAAGTGGGGGTGCAGGGCCGGTTGGCTACTCTACCCAGGACCAGAAGACCAAGCTGCCCTCAGGTGGGGCCCCAGACACACATTAGTTCACTGGCCCCACGTGACCTGAGGTAACCTGACCATCCTGCTGGGCTCATCCCATTCTGCATGGACCTCAGACAGATCACCTTCCTGGCCTTTTGCCCAGGCCTCCTGCCCCACCCTGTGTTGGGAAGAGAGCCAGAGCAGCCATGTAGACTCTCCTAATCCCAGCTGCCATGTTTCTGAGAGGAATTGCACCTTTTGTGGGTGTCATCTTATTAACCTCACCTATTTTATTTAAGAAAAAATTTATTACAGGGAGTCTGGAAATACAAGTAAGCAAAAAAGAAAATAACCCACCATTAAAAACTGAGGGTATGTTTTTCTATGTATTTATCTACATGTGTATTTATTATGAAAACGGGATCTTCTACAAAACATTTTGTAACTTTGTCTCTCCTCTGACAACATCATACCCTGACCTTCCTGTTGAGGGTGTTGTCCCTTCATCCCCTGTGAACAGGGCCCTGCCACATTCCAAAGACCAAGCTCTGTTCTCCCCACTCTTAGAATTGGGACAGCAGTAGATGTGCTTGCTGAGCTGCAGCGTGAAACCACTTGCTTAGCGCACAAGAGGCCCTGGGTTCAAGCCCAGAATGGGGAATTAAAAAAAAAAATCTAGAGCATTTGGAATTGCTTGTTGAATTACAGAAAACTACAGAAAGTTGTTTTGTTCAAAAACCCTAATTTGACTTGCTTTGGAAACCTGACCCTGGTTACCACACATCTTTTATGGCTCCAAGGAGGAGCTGGGGGATGGGGGTTGGAGGGGCAGGGCTGGCGCCACCCTCACTTCAAACAGAGAGGCTCAGTGTTCCTGAGCTGCACCTCACTATGTCAAAAAAAAAAAAAATCAGTTGATTTAAAAAGGTAGGGGCTGGAGGTGTGGCTCAAGTTGTGAGCATCTGCCTAGCAAGCGTGAGGCCCCACGTTCAAACCCCAGTACCACACACACAAAAAAAAGTTCAAGAACCACAATCCCCCTTCCCAGTCACCTGTGTGCCACTAGGGTCGCTCCATGCCACAGGAGAGGGGGTCTAGATGACCTCTTGCCCCCCTATGGTTCAACAGGAGCCCTCAAGAGGAAACTTACAGGAGACCCAGAATCTGACTCCATGTCTGGAAATGCTTTTGTGATAGCAACTCAAGAACATTTTGCCAGAGCTGGGAGTAGAGGTGGGGAAAGCCAGTTACCACCCTCAAAATAACATCTGTACATTGGAGCCCACCTGGAGTTTCTGTGCACCCTCTAGCTGCCTGTGGGCGATGTGCCAGCTCTGCTGTCCTGGCGAGGCTGACCTGGACCACAATGACAGAGGCTCATTCCTTTGTTCATTGGTCATCAACCATCAGCTGGGTTTGTGCAGTCACGAGGGCACAGGTTTTGGGGCTGCTATAAGCAAAACAGAGCTGTCACCCATCACAGGGAGGCTTACCTGTGTAGAGGCAGGTTTAGCCAGCACATAAGTGATCACAAAACCATACACTTGAGTGCAGCCACGTAGAAACCTTGGGGCAAGATGGGGAATGTCTCTGCAACTGAGAGGAAGTGCTTAGCAAAGGCCCTTGGGGAGATTTGAACGAACTGGGATAGGGTCTGTCCACAAAGGGCCCTTGGCCACTTAGGGATGTAGATTGCCTCCTAAGAACTAGGGTACACCAGTGGCAAGGCTCAGAAAGGGAGCCGTGTGTTTCTAAAAGACCCTCTGCTGAACTCAGAAGTTAGGACAGCAGTGATGAAGGTAGAAACATGGGTGCTCCATACAGCTCAGAAGAGGAGCTATAGCTAGGATGAACACAACAGAGTGACACCCGCAGGTTTCAGGGATAATCTATCGGTCCTGATTGAAGCTGGGGGTGGCCAGGTTGACCATGGGTTTCTGGGAGACACAGTCAGCTGGATGGAGGGGCCCCTCCCTGGTATAAGGAAACCAGGGGCAAGCAGAGGGCAGGCACTCTGTCACTGAGCTGCACTCCCCACCCCTGTTCTGTCTCTGGATCTGAGGGTTTTTTTTTTTTTTATTCATATGTGCATACAAGGCTTGGGTCATTTCTCCCCCCTGCCCCCACCCCCTCCCTTACCACCCACTCCTCCCCCTTCCTCTCCCCCCTACCCCCTCAATACCCAGCAGAAACTATTTTGCCCTTATCTCTAATTTTGTTGAAGAAAGAGTATAAGCCATAATAGGAAGGAACAAGGGTTTTCGCTAGTTGAGATAAGGATAGCTATACAGGGCATTGACTCACATTGATTTCCTGTGCGTGTGTGTTACCTTCTAGGTTAATTCTTTTTGATCTCACCTTTTCTCTAGTTCCTGGGCCTCTTTCCTGTTGGCCTCAGTTGCTTTTAAGGTATCTGCTTTAGTTTCTCTGCATTGAGGGGAACAAATGCTAGCTAATTTTTTAGGTGTCTTACCTATCCTCACCCCTCCCTTGTGTGCTCTCGCTTTTATCTTGTGATCAAAGTCCAACCCCCTTGTTATATTTGCCCTTGATCTAATGTCCGCATATGAGGGATAACATACGATTTTTGGTCTTTTGGGCCAGGCTAACCTCACTCAGAATGATGTTCTCCAATTCCATCCATTTACCAGCGAATGATAACATTTCGTTCTTCTTCATGGCTGCATAAAATTCCATTGTGTATAGATACCACATTTTCTTAATCCATTCGTCAGTGCTGGGGCATCTTGGCTGTTTCCATAACTTGGCTATTGTGAATGGTGCCGCAATAAACATGAGTGTGCAGGTGCCTCTGGAGTAACCTGTGTCACAGTCTTTTGGGTATATCCCCAAGAGTGGTATTGCTGGATCAAATGGTAGATCAATGTTTAGCTTTTTAATTAGCCTCCAAATTTTTTTCCAGAGTGGTTGTACTAGTTTACATTCCCACCAGCAGTGTAAGAGGGTTCCTTTTTCCCCGAATCCTCGCCAACACCTGTTGTTGGTGGTGTTGCTGATGATGGCTATTCTAACAGGAGTGAGGTGGAATCTTAGCGTGGTTTTAATTTGCATTTCCTTTATTGCTAGAGATGGTGAGCATTTTTTCATGTGTTTTTTGGCCATTTGAATTTCTTCTTTTGAGAAAGTTCTGTTTAGTTCACTTGCCCATTTCTTTATTGGTTCATTAGTTTTGGGAGAATTTAGTTTTTTAAGTTCCCTACATATTCTGGTTATCAGTCCTTTGTCTGATGTATAGCTAGCAAATATTTTCTCCCACTCTGTGGGTGGTCTCTTCAGTTTACAGACCATTTCTTTTTAGTTTTATGAGGTCCCATTTATCTATGCTATCTCTTAGTTGCTGTGCTGCTGGGGTTTCGTTGAGAAAGTTCTTACCTATACCTACTAACTCCAGAGTATTTC